TTAGGGGATGTTTCAGCAGATAATCACGCAGGTGTGTTGCTCCTTCTTCTGTACGGCATCACGCAATAATACAGTAATATATACATACAATATATACGTGTATGTATATAAAATAACATTAAAATATACTACTTACGTAATTATAAAGAAAGGGAAAACCTTTATAAATAAATAATAGTTTTTAAATCTGGTAAATTAAATTAATATATTAAACGTATTAATCACTTTTTATAACCTCCGCTGTCATCGTTTGCCTTTGGCATTGTATATATTGCCGTACTTTACACTTTGTAACATGTACTATATACAGTTGTATGTATGAAGACCTTTTTACATTTTTTATAAATTAGTTTTTCTCTACATGTATTAATATTGATTTTTATAAATCTCTTGACTTATAAACAATAATATGGCGACCATGATTTACAAATTCAAGTAAATTAGATTACAAATGTCCGTTTATCATTAAGTAGGTTTTTATTAACAATTAAATTTACAGTACTATAATTATAGGTTACATTTGTCTTATTTAAATAGTTTCTACATAATTTCAGATTTTATTCATTCTAATATACACCCAGTATTTGTATAGAATAATTAAAGCATTTTTTCACAAAAAGTAATTTGATGAGTATGTTTACTTTATAGTTGTGTTATTGTTTGTATGAAATAATCAGTACTATGACAGTAATCACTTATATACATACATACATATACACATATATAGTGTTTGAGATATTTAATTAAAATATTTTTAATTTATCTAAATATATATATAAATTGTTATTTTTATATATTAAAAATTATTACTAACACGATAATTAAAAATTAACATTAAAAAATGAAAAATTACAATACTACTAGCTACATTTTGTTTAATTATATTTAATTTTATGTGTATTCAATAATTACTTTATTTCATTTATTACTTGCATGTTTGTGTTTGTATAAGTATTTACTATAATGAAAAGTATGTGTATAAATTATACAATATAAGTAAACAATATATATATTTCTTAATAGAATAATGGCAATTTCAATAAATGAAATTTGTGAAAATACTAAATTGGCTCGTGAAATGGCATTAACTGGAAATTATGATACGTCTGGAGTATATTATCAAAGTGTTGTTCAACAAATTCATCGATTACTTACAAGTATTGCAGACACAACACGGAAAGCTAAGTGGCAACTTATTCAGCATCAAATTGTTCAAGAATTTGAAAAAGTGAAAGCAACATCAAATACTTTACAGCTTTTCAAAGTAGACACACATGGAGAAAGATTATTAGGTATTTTTATATTATTCATAACATTAGTAATATTTATAAAAATAAGATGATAACATTTTAAAAATGTATAGGTAATTCATGTTTATCGTTTGAAGAACCTACAAGAGATCCAACTTTATGGACTTATAATAATTCAGACCGCTCATGGAATCAGACGGTATCAAAGGATCCAGATGTGTGGCCACCGCTGACACCTGCAGAACAAAAGTAATCAACTGTGAAGAGTAGAATATTAACCTCAATTTTTATGATGCCATTAAATATACTATATTACGTTATATTTACAGAAACATTAGACCACTGAAAAGTCAAGCAAAACAGCAAAATCGTACAAATGCACGAAAATCTGTTACAGCAGGGAAAAAAACAGATAGTAAAACAGCTGCTAAGAAAGATGAAAGGAAAGCAATAAAAAAAGATGACACAAATAAAGTTAGTTCTAATATTTATTATGATTTATAATCTTTACTGCATTTGTACATGTCTTATAATAATATGTAAATATTTCTTACAGGATAAATGTGAAACTGATAAAGTAGACATAGAAGTAGAAGAACGTAAATTTGAACCATCTGGTAGTGATAGAGATTTAGTAGATTTATTAGGTAAATTATATACTTGTATGTTAATAATCGTGGGTGTAACAAAGTAGAAGCAAATGTGTGCTCAATTTCCTCAAAAAATGTGGACTGGCTCCTTTTACTATTCTAAAATTTTGAGATTCTAAGGTTTCAAAATTTCAAAATTCTAAGATTCTAAAATTTTCTGTTCTAAGCAATATTAAAATTAAGTTGGAATTAAATAATACTAATTGTAAGTACTTGACACTGTTAGTGAAGTTAAGAGATTTTGCCCATCCCGGAAAAAATATAAATATTAAAAAAAAAGTAAGTTGTTTATATTAATATTACAGAAAGGGATATTGTTCAAAAGAATCCAAATATTCATTGGGACGATATAGCTGACTTGTATGAAGCAAAGCGATTATTAGAAGAAGCTGTTGTCCTTCCGATGTGGATGCCGGATTTCTTTAAAGTATATATATACACACGCGCACACAAGTATTCTATGTAATTTATATTTGATTCTAGAAAATGTGTTGTTATTTTAGGGAATTCGTCGTCCATGGAAAGGAGTACTTATGGTTGGACCACCAGGTACTGGAAAAACAATGCTCGCTAAAGCTGTAGCTACTGAATGTGGAACAACTTTTTTTAATGTATCATCTTCTACACTAACTTCAAAATACAGAGGAGAATCAGAAAAACTTGTTCGTCTTCTTTTTGAAATGGTAATTATAGTTGATAGTGAAATTTTACATTGTTAATTTTTAAAATGAATTTATTTAATTAGGAATTATTCTTTAATTTTACAAAATATATATAGGCAAGATTTTATGCACCTAGTACGATTTTTATTGATGAAATCGACTCTCTATGCTCTAGAAGAGGATCTGAATCTGAACATGAAGCTTCACGAAGAGTGAAATCTGAACTTCTTGTTCAAATGGATGGTATAAGTTCAAACAGGTAATCCAATCATATATGTTAATAAAATAATATTTAGTTGAATTGATTATAAAGTTTAATGTGGTACACTTTAGCGAAGATCCCAGTAAAGTTGTAATGGTACTAGCAGCAACAAATTTTCCATGGGATATTGATGAAGCTCTTCGAAGGAGATTGGAGAAACGTATTTACATTCCATTACCTAATCGTAAGTAACTGCATAATTCAATAAAGTTATTTTCTACGATTAAATTTTTATTTAATCTATAAATGTCACACAGATGAAGGTAGAGAAGCATTATTAAAAATTAATTTACGAGAAGTAAAGGTAGATTCATCCGTAAATTTGGCGGATATTGCCAAAAAGTTGGAAGGTTATTCTGGCGCAGACATTACAAATGTTTGCAGGTAAATAAAATTATTAAAAATTCATGAACATTTGTTACATACAAAATTAAATTGTAAATATATGCATAGGGATGCATCTATGATGTCTATGAGGAAGAAAATTGCAGGCTTAAAGCCTGACCAAATTAGACAGCTGCCAAAGGAAGAATTAGACTTGCCTGTGTCTGCAGCAGATTTTGATGAAGCTGTTGAAAGATGCAATAAGAGTGTCTCACAAGAAGATTTAGAAAAGTATGAAAAATGGATGAGTGAATTTGGTTCATCTTGATATCATTCCGTTCAAAGAATATAAGTATACGATAATACGTTTATTTAAAACAAAATCTTTCTGATTTTTGCGACGCAAAATATAAATCGCTACTTCTTAAAATACAAGGTGTTCCAAAAATACCGTACAATTCGAAAATCACAGATTCTCCTCGCGAAAATAAATGGAAAGTTCCTGTACCATTTTGCAATCTGCGTCTTTGTTTTCGAGATATAAGCAATTGAAAATTGGAATATCGATTTCCGAGACTCACGTTTCGAGCAACTAATATCTGAGCAGATACCCCGTTTCTTATTTCTTCGGACCTGTATTCAAACAGAGAAACGCGTGAAAAGACAACGATGTACGTAAATTTATTATAATTTTAGCCTCAACGGTCATAGAATAAGACTTGGTTTACATCTTTTCCTTAACCATTCATCCCACACTTTCACCTTTGGGGGTCTATTCACATACTTCCTCACTTTTACCTAAATTCACATATAATAAAGTAACCACAAACTTAAGCTATAAACTTTACACTATAAACTATGGACTAAACTTATATAACCTATCCTAAATTACCGCAACAAATATAATTATTTAGTATCACATTTTTTTTCTATTTTCTTATCTAATGTCCTCATCCACTCTATCACATGCTCTTCCCCTTTACCTTCTAACACTTTCGTCTAACGAGGGGAACTACCCAAGTGTTACACTCACTTATTAATGAAACTTTACCACCTTGTAGAGCTTGTCACCCTGAACACGCCTATACCCCCTTTTGGGGGCAGACAGCTAATTGTTTAAAAGATATTAACAATTAAAGTTAGTTACTCCTTACATTGAAAAGCATGACAAACTAACACATATAAATGCTTAGCTCCGCGGTAAAACGCTAGACTCGCAATCTAACTGTCCACGGTTCAAGTCCATGGTTCCCCCAACTTTTTTTTTCTTTTTTCTTCTTTCTTTTTAATGATAATCTGTCTCTTTTTGAATAACTATTACAACTGTGCTATAATCATTGCATTTATTAATAGGTCATTAATTACATGTGCTGAAATTTTTATAGAATTTAAGTTATCTTTTCTATCCAATACGTACATTAACACCCTTACCGCATTCAGAATTTACACGCGTTTATTTGTTATTATTTGTTTTTACGAGTTCAATTTATTTAATTATATTTATTTAGTTACATTCATTTATACTACTGTGCAAATTTATAATTTATATTTACAACATTAGAAGAAAACGCAGAAGACATTAGTGAAGAATCCAAAACAATAGGACAGAAATTATATTCGTATTTTATGGAAATTAATTGTGTGTGTATAATAACAAATAAACGCTAGTAAATTTTGAATGCGGTAAGGGTGTTAATGTACGTATTGGATAGAAAAGATAACTTAAATTCTATAAAAATTTCAGCACATGTAATTAATTACCTATTAATAAATGCAATGATTATAGCACAGTTGTAATAGTTATTCAAAAAGAGACAAATTATCATTAAAAAGAAAGAAGAAAAAAAAGTTCGGAACCATGGACTTGAACCGTGGACAGTTAGATTGTGAGTCAAGCGTTTTACCGCGGAGCTAAGCATTTATATGTGTTAGTTTGTCATGCTTCTCAATGTAAGTAGTAACTAACTTTAATTGTTAATATCTTTTAAACAATTAGCCGTCTGCCCCCAAAAGGGGGTATAGGCGTGTTTAGGGCGACGAGCTCTACAAGGTGGCAAAGTTTCATTAATAAGTGAGCGTAACACTTGGGTAGTTCCCCTTGTAAGAACATACCCCCTTCTCTATTTCGTCACATTCTTTCAACCAATGTTACAATGTTCTCAACCCTGCAACTGTTCACATATCCTGCAAATTCTTTTCTTGCTACTTTTTCCCAGTACTTATTATAAGACTCCATGTTACCACACCTGACTCTTGCCAGCAATTTTTGGCTATTGCCTCTTCCCCTTTTTATCAGGTACTCCGGTAGTATATAACAAACAATATGCTGATACCTTTCATTATATTTCGCTTCCTTAATCTTGTTTAGCCTTTTTTGTCCCTTGTATTTCTCTACCTCTCTCCGTTAGCACCTCTTCTGCCATCCGAATATCTCCACTCCATGTAACAAAATTTCCTTTATAAGGTAATCAAACATAAACATTCTACTCCTAAAACTATCTTCAAAGATCCTTTCGCCTATACCCCATACCTGTCCCATGGACCTCTCTGTCTGACTAACGTTGTTCCAATTTTCAATTACTTATATCTTCAAAACAAAGGCATAAATTGCAAAATGGTAAGAAATTTTCGATTTGTTTTCACGAGGAGAATTTGCGATTTTCGGGTTGTTCGGTATTTTTGAGACACTGTATATTTATCACTATTGTAATTAACGATCTTTTGAAATGTTTTTAATCCTTTTATTACTTACTTTTCAAGAAATATAAATTAAAAGCATCATAATATTATTTTAATTACAAAATATTAAATACTTTTAAAACACTCATATTATTTGATCATTTCTTGTATATACGATTGGATATAGTTCGAAAATTTAATTCATATTTATAATTTTAGTAATAATTTTTTACAAATAAATATTTTATAAAAAATTTGAAAAATGTTTTATTTGTAATTATGAAATACGCACTTCTCTTAACAAATATGTTTAAATAATCAGATAAACATAAAATACATATTTATATTCTTACGAGCGAGAAACTGTAAACAACCACACGAACCAACCAGGAAAATAAGCGATACTATAAAAGGCCAGACACCGCCTAATTATTGTTCATTGTTCATTCGAAATTCATCAACTCATTCATTTTCTTGTTGGGCTAACTCTAACTTGTCTTTGTAATATTTTAAAATACCAAAAATATAATAATTGTAAAACGTTTAGTTTAGAGCGGAAAATAAAATTATTAAAGATAAAAAAAAAAGATTATCAGCGTTTCGCTAGCAACAATAGGTGCGTGAATGTAGTTTTCATATGAAAAAATGATGTACGATGATTAATTATAATTATTACCCTATGTGTTTTTTGGAGCACAACCTTCTTTTCTTAATCGTTTAGTCTCTTCATCAATATTCTTTGAATCTTTTGGAGCTTTGTAATTTGCTACATGATCAACTCTTATCGTTCTACCTAAAATCTAAAAATATAGTAATTGATTATAATTTGCATAATTTTTATCTTCACAAAGTTACTAAAATAATTATAATCTAATAAATAAATCTTAAAAGTATTTATACCTTAATACCATTGAAGTTATCAACAGCTAATATGGTACTTCTTTGATCTTCATAACACAAGAAACCATATCCTTTTTGTTTTCCTGTATCTTTATCCCGTATTAAGTTTATATTTACTACTTCTCCATACCTGTAATGATATATATTTAGTTTCTTTTTCAATAGAAACATTTAATAAGTATGGGGACTTCGTATTTAAACCTTTCTGTAGTATTTTCTTAATTTAATGTGACGAAGTGTTATGAATAAATTCTTAAAATTGTGGTCTAATATTATAGTTTGGCAGTTCAAAATTGATAAAAAGAACTTTAACAAATAAAAAAAGGTTTTGTAATGAATTTCTAAATGTATTCCAGGCATGCACACAAAATTGCCCGTAGAATAGCTGAGTACCTATGTACTAGTCATGGATGTCCATGCCAGTTTTACTGCTTGCTGTGCATGTCTGATGTATTCAACAATCGTTAATATTCATAATTCAAGGCCAGAAGGATATTTTCAACAAATTGAGTAAAGTTTTGAAGTTCTTGATGTACAAAAATTACTCATAAATGAATAATAACGTAGATAAAAAATTATTTCTTTTTCTTAACATGAATGAACACTGACGTCACATTTCTCCCCACAAATTTTTCAATCTCTAAGAACATATTCTGAATCACTGTACAGGGGAGGAAACAGTTATTTAACTATACTATTGTTATTTTTTTAACTGTTTTAGTGGTTTTTAGGTACTTGGATAGAATTATTATCATTCTTTAACAAATCAATATTTTAATAGGAAAAGAATATCAGATATTCATAAAATATACTTTAATTTTTAAATTATTTCATCTTACATATTTCTTTAAAAAAAGTCAGAAAGTCACATTTTTTAACCTTCACTAGAGAAATCCCTTAAATCATTGAGAACATTTCTAGTATTTTAAACTTACTGTGAAAATATAGTTATAATATCACCTTCTGTTAAATCATATGGTAAACCTCCAATAAAAATCCAAGCACTGTCTTTGTATTGATCATGCCAAGATGTTTTTCTATCATATAATAATTCCTGTTCTCCAAGCTTCTTTATATTTTTTACATTCCTAAAAATATTATGTACATATACAATTAAAACTTTAAGATGTAAATAATACATATACGTATCTTGTAATAGAATAATGGTACTCACGTTAAAGGATTCATTTTACATGTCACATGAAAATTATATTATACCTCATAAAGAAATATGTTAATCGTTGCTTTCAAACCTGTAATGAATTTGATTTAAGGAAATACCTGTTAATTTACTGAATTCGTATTTGAGTTTTTAATTATTTGATAAATCACAGTAGTAAAAATTAATAATATACGTTAATAAATATATAGTATATACGCAATCAATGCGGATAAACTCATTAACAAGTAGCAAAACATTAATCACAACATTTAAAATCATAACCTTAAAAGGCCCGTCATAAGAATATGTACTGTTGCGTGTTGCGTGTCCGTCGCGGAAAATAGGGATATTCGGGGATTTTAGGTGCAGGTGCGACACTCCGTGGAGCGCAGAGGCGCTCCGCTCTCAAGGCGCGTGTAACGTGAAATGTTATCACGTGAATATATTTAGAGTGGTGTGGCGACACTGCCATGGGAATATTTATCGATAGTCTATTGTATCGATGGTCATAAATTAAGAGCGAAATTCGAACATCGTCTGTGCGTACGTTTATATAAATAGACAAAGAGAAAATTGTAAACCCCTCGACGTGGGTGATCGAGCTGAAAGAAGGCCGGAAATCCAGAGAATGGAATAGTTTCACTTCGAAAGTTCTTAAAAGACTAATTTATGATAGACCATAGCCAATTCGTTGTTTTCGACCAAGTCACGAACGGTCCTTAAAAACTACGAAGTCTTTTTCGATATCCTGTCATCCTATTCATGCACTCTGAGAGGGTCGTAAATTTCCTCAAGAGTTGCTTTGGCAAGTACAAGGTCTTGTCGTTTCCTAATTTCTCTGGGTCCCACGCTTTCTCGTAGCACATGTGCGCTGCAACGTTCTAGCGTCTTGGCGGAGCGCCTTCACTTCCACGCGCCTGAGGGTGGACCACAGCCAGGAGAAGGGGCCCACACGAAACGGGGTGGACTCCTCCACCATTGGACGAGGGATGATCCTGAGGGAGGATCCAGGATCTACCAAGGAAGGGGCATTGACCGACAACGCGCGAAGAGCTCCTCCGCCAAGCGTAGAGCGTTCAGAATGATTTTGTCGCTTGACCGTTCTCGCACAGCAAATTCTTAAAGCTCATAAGATCTGTTTAAAGTTGAACTTTGAAATATTAAAGACCAGATAAACTGAATTATTAATAGTTTTATTAATTTGCACATCCACGCTTTGAGAGCGAAGCGCTTCCGCGCTCCACGGGTTGTTACACCTGCTCCTAATCCTAAAATATCCCTATCTACCGCGGCGTTCACGCAACACGCGGATATGAAAATAATAAACTATTATTTCGTTTCCTGTACTTTAATATTTCAAGTTCAATTTAAAGGATGATCTTTAAACTTTGTATTGATAATGCTTTGGATTTAGCGCGTGAGAAGGATTCGTCTAATTCGAGCGACAAAATCATTCTAACGATTCTGCGCTTGGCGGAGAAGATCTTCGCGCGTTGTCGGTCGGTGCCCCTTCCTTGGTGGATCCTGGATCCTCCCTCAGGATCATCCCTCGTCCAATGGTGGAGGAGTCCACCCCGTCTCGTGTGGGCCCCTTCTCCTGGCTATGGCCCACCCCACAGCCGACTCTAGTAAATACTAGCCATGCTGAATAACGTGGCAACACCGCTCACGTGACAATCGGGAGTCCTATTTTCAAAAATAGAGTCCTGTGCTCGGAATTTTAATTAACGTCTTTTTTAATTAAAAGCTGTAGTAATATACACTATTTTGTGTTAATTATGTATAAACAATATATAAACGTTGCAACTATGGCAAATAGAAGTGATGTGGTAGTATAAAATTGTTATAAATGTGATATACATTTTGTGTACTCTCGAAGTAGTTTGGTGTTGTGAAGCATGATATTTAAAATATTTACAGTGGTTTCAAGAAAATTTAGGTATGAAGCAAAATGAAACCATCTTTGGATCAAATTGAAACATTTAAGAATTGATAAACGTGTATATAAGTTAATAAAAACCTTGAAACAAGCGAAATTATTGGAACGAAACCAAAGAGGTTATGTGAAGTCCAGAGAGTAGTCGGGAGTCTGACGACGTTGATTGGCTAAGAGTCTGGGAGTCCGGGAGGCAGATAGAGTAGGGTAGGTGTTGATGTATTCAGACCGGACTCCCGCGGTGTTGCCATTTTTACTTCAGCACGGCTAGTACTAGAGTCGGCTGTGTCCACCCTCAGGCGCGTGGAAATGGAGGCGCTCCGCCAAGACGCTAGAACGTTGCAGCGCACATGTGCTACGAGAAAGCGTGGGACCCAGAGAAATTAGGAAACGACAAGACCTTGTACTTGCCAAAGCAACTCTTGAGGAAATTTACGACCCTCTCAGAGTACATGAATAGGATGACAGGATATCGAAAATGACTTCGTAGTTTTTAAGGACCGTTCGTGACTTGGTCGAAAACAACGAATTGGCTATGGTCTATCATAAATTAGTCTTTTAAGAACTTTCGAAGTGAAACTATTCCATTCTCTGGATTTCCGGCCTTCTCTCAGCTCGATCACCTACGTCGAGGGGTTTACAATTTATTCTTTGTCTATTTATATAAACGTACGCACAGACGATGTTCGAATTTCGCTCTTAATTTATGACCATTGATACAAAGGTCCTCGAAAAACATTCAAGACATATCGATACAATAGACTATCGATAAATATTCCCTAGGCAGTGTCGCCACACCACTCTAAACATATTCACGTGATAACATTTCACGTTACAATACAGAACTATACCGCAGTTCACCAGAGTCCATCTCACGATCAGAGCACGCGTTCAATCACGAGAGCATTGGCTCTCAACCGCGCTCGATCGTGATCGTGAACAAATGCATTGGCAGAGCGTGGGTATCGCGGGAAGCATACGACAAATGTTTCATCATCTTATGTGGAATTATTCGTTCTTCATGAATAATGATAACGAATGCGTTTGTTCACGACTACGACCGAGCGCGGTTGAGAGCCAACACTCGTAGTTGAGCGCTCTCATTGTCCAGTGTTTTTCGTTAATAATTCAAAAACGAAGCTTCAACTAACATTTTGATAAAGGAAAAAGTTGTTCCGAATCCCTCCAGTCTCCAGCAACTCCCCATTTCCGGATGTCACGAGAGTTATGGGACACTGTATACAGAACCAATAAAGAATTAAAAATGTTTATCTCTTCACACGTTTCTGTATTTGAATACTGACTCAGGACCAGGACAATAGGAGATGGGCTACTTGCTGAGCTGTTAGCTATTCAAAACGCAAGCTTCGGAAGTTGATATACCAATTTTTTTAAATGGTAAAGGAACTTTTGATTTGTTTTCGTGTGGAGAATCTGTGGTTCTTGACTTGTACGGTATCACAGCCGACTGTACTAGAGTCGGCTGTGACGGTATCATACGGTATTTTTGAGACACGTTGGGATACAGTACCTAAGTGACGATGACCAATACATACTTCTGTATTGATGATTTCAACATATCGTAGCTATGACGGCAGCCGGGAATTTAATATAGCCTAACCTAACGTCTTCTCATGATTATCAAATCGCTCTGACAACCTTCGTCAATCAAGACACTGAATATCTGCCACTCATTATTCCAATAAGCGTACAACTTGACGTATGGTGGACGCCTAATCCATTACTCCTTGTTCAACGCTTACACCAGTAAGTATATCCTCTGACATGTGGCGGGCACCTGATCTACCACTCCTTATTCAGCATTTACCCCAGTAAATTCATATCCTAAACAACCCTCATCACTGATCCAAATTAATCTTCCCACTACTTTAACGAGTCGTGGGAATGCTTGAGTTCATGGTGACAAGCAGGACTCTTGGACGAAGCCATACAACCTTCGTTGACCCGACCGACCATCAGGAGGATTCCATTGTGAACGAGAGCTCATAACACAATACTCAAACGGTTAATGAAATATAAGTTATATAACTATAAGGAATTTAACATTGAATTATAAATAAATATATACTGAATAAATTAGTGGTTGCTAATATATTAAAATCGATAATTTAAAAACTTATAATACTCTAAGTAATTTTCTTCTTTTATTTATAAAAATAATACATCATGTTTTATTAAAATCTTACATTAAAGTAATATAATTAACAGATATACGTTTCAGATCTTTTTTCATAAAAAATTTAAAATATTTTATAATTGATGTATTATATTCTACATAAATATGTAGGTTTAAAGTAAAATAATCAATTGTTATAAAAATCGTAAAAGATACGAAAGTAAAACAATTACTAGGTTTAGGTGCTTCCACGTCCTCTTCCCAGTGGAAGCTTAAAGTTCTTTGCGTCTTTCTTTAGTTTACTCTTTCCTCCTAATGGCGGAAAATCAGCAGAATTAAAACAATTTATACTTTCTCTTACTTCATTAGCAGCAGCTTGTGACATTGTTTTAGGAGGACGTAGTGGTCGACCAATTAAAACTGCACTGTTTGATGATGTATTAAATTCACTGGGAGGGGTAACATGTACACGGTTTACTTCGCCACGACGTCGTTGTTCTTCAGCATAACTTCGTTCCGATACTTTTCTTCTATGTTCCTCAGTTACTCCATTCATTTCAACTACCATTCTCGGATTACCGAGGTTTAAGGAATTCAGATGAGTATCAATAATATTCAGGTCCACAGAATCTTGATAAATAGTATCGATTGTCTGAGAGACAGGGCAATGTACTCCTTCGATCATTGGTACACTGAGAAATTCACAACAATAATCGCATATTGTGAAACCCCATCTTTTTACAACAGACATACTGCAGTACTGAGACGAACCATCTATAGCTTTATGAAAATCACATTCGAGATTAGAGACAGACGAGAAAATATCTTTTTTAAATTCATTCTCAGCAACTACCAGATGTATACTGCAATTATCTACATTTTGCACAGCAGTATTCCTCAGTTCTCCAAAAAGTGCTTCCAATGAATAGATTGGAAAGTCATTTATAGACGCACCTCCTGCGTCAGTCATTTTTGTTAGCAATGACTGCACTGCAGGAACCATATCTTTCACAGTAAACAATGGAGGCAATTTGTTTCCAGTCTTATTGCTTTCTAGTAGTCCAACCAATTTTTCATACATAAATAAAAAGTCATTCTGTCCTCCTGGAAGTTCTACAGGTATTCTATGGGTTTGCTGACTTGTTTCAATTGCATCTCTTTTCCATCCTAATGGTATTTTTACATTAAGAATTTCGTGATATATATTTTCAATGCCATTTTCCAAGCTAAATTCTGCGACTGCAAATTCTGCAGGACAAAATTCATATTTGTTGATTCCTATTTCTCTTCTAAAAAACCAATTTACATGTATGAGTATGAACTTTAATTTCTTCAAACCTGTAATAAATTATAATACACTGCTCATATTGTTTTTCATAAATATATATGAATGTAATATATTGGACACTTACTGTTATGTTTAACCCCCATAGACACTATAGATTCTATGTACTGAAGCATGTTTTGATTAAATTCTTGGTCTCTCTTGTCAGCTTCCAAAACCTCCTCGATACATTCTCCAATTGTTGTTTTCTTCTTCATACATCCTTGAGCCTCAACTTTACTTTCGGCTGCTTTCTTTTTATAGTATCCTTTTTCTTGTGAGGAAAGGTTCTGCAATAAATTTAAAGACATACTTAAATAGTTTAAGATGTATTAAAAATCACAAACTATACATTATCATATTCATTATTATTTCTTCTCAAAGACAGGTCATAACCAAGTATTCTATTGTCAAAGCCAGAAGAACAATAGGGTCAACATGAAATCCACTAATCAGCATTATCAGCACTAATATTCTTTAAAAGGATCCTGGTTATACTAAGCCAAATCTGGTGATATGTACATGCATAGGTTAGAAGAAGGATATGACCAAGACTTAAACTAGAAGTAATTACAAGACTATTACGATTTTTAAAAAGATTTCTAGGAATGAGAGAACAAATGTTTCCTAAAAGATGCTATGGGAAATTAGCTAATATGTATGCTAGTAGTCCAGGAATGAAAAAGAACTGGTATGGTTTGATACGAAAAAAAAAAAGTGAAAGGTATAGATGTAAGGACATAACAAAGACAGGATATTAGAGAAGGTAACGGAATACCTTATTCAAGAGGACAGAATAAGGACAGAGCAATCATCCTATAGTCAAAAGTACAGAGATATATGATGGGGAGAAATATGAACACACTGAAAGGATACTTATAAACGAACCAACCATTAAAATTCAAAAGAACTTTAGCACAACTAAACCTAGCAGGGAGGATTCATTGGAGGGAAAGGAATCTATAATTTGGAAAAACTATAGAGCAGCTTCTGAAAAGATATCTAATGTATGTACAATTTAAACCCAAAGACTATAAAAATTGCACTGTGATTCAGGTATTATCCATAAATAAAGAACAGGACACTAGAAGACTGAACTATTTTATGATAAATGCAATATGAATTAAAGTTATATATTTGGAAAATTAAACTGACGGAAGCAAACCAAAGATTAATTATAATAAATCCTTATTTTTGTAAATATAAAAGCATATATTATATTTATATAAAAATGTTATTAGTAAAGAACGGTAGGAAAGCAACAAATACCTGCAATAATTATATGTGATTGATTACAAACAATTTAACACAAATTGCAAGCAACCAAAATTGTAATTACCACCATATATTTATCTTACGATTAGATTTAAGATTCTAATAAATGAAAATCTTATATTAAAAAAAACAATACATTATACAGGGTGAATCACTTAACGTTTGTACTTCAAATATCTTTGTTATTTTTAAAGATATATCAAATATCTTAAAGTCAAGTTGAATGATTCAATGGAGCTCACATGATACCAACAAAATTTTTGTTTTTACACCTTTATTTTAAAGATATCAAGTTCACCTTCATTTTTTTAAATGAAACCATCCTTTCTTAAACACCTACAATAATAGTACGTTTCATTGGGAATTCAGTGACTACAAAATTATTTAAGGTCATTCAAGGTCATATTTGTGAAAGTATATAAATTAAAGATTAACATTGAAATTAATCTATATGTATAAATTATCATGCAATATTTATTTATATGATAATGAAATTATTTTGAAATAAAGAAAGGACTGACTCTGTAAAATTTGTTTTACATAAGAGTTATTTAAAGCGATAAAACATTTTAAAAAGTTTCACCAAAAAATTATAAATGCTTTTAATTTTATAATCAAACTAACTATATAAATGCAAATTAAATGAATAAAAATAAACATTGAACAGTTAAGGAAGAAATTTAATTTAATATTTATTAATAATAAATTCAAATAACACAAATACTTACAATACTTATAATTGTTTGCAACACTTTCTTTTCTAAAAAATTTCTAAGTAAAAATGGCAAAATTTAATTAAATTCAAACACAAATGAAAATGTTTACTATTACCAGTTTAGGCATTAGTTGACAATATATAAATATTTCTTATTTGCTTCAACAATGACATAATTGAAATATCTTGATTTTAGGGATCACAAGTTTAAATATTCTGAAGCATTACAACTTTATAAGATCATTATATAATACAACTGTTGGTTTTTCTGTACTAATAATTCAAAAGCTGTCAATTTTGAGTTAAGTCACTGTTGTAGCAATGAGTGATATACATACAGCGAAGAACAAAAGTTAAAACAGAATACCTCATTTAAAATTGGACCAAATGACTTGAGGTTTTTTGAGAAGCTATAAAAATTAATTTACTAAGATACAGAGACATAACTAGTCAAGTTCTTAGATGAAAAGTCACGATTCTTGGAAATTTTAATTACTTGTAACTTCTAAGTGCATTGACCGATCTCGATGAAATTTTCAGCATACACATAACTAATCTGAATCTATGAAAGACATATTTTAAATTTTCATTGTAGGCTCACATAAAGAAGTTGAAAAATTACCCTTCATTATTTTTTCTCACGGTTTCAACAAATTGTAATTTTTTAAAACAACAAAAGCACATATCTTAGTAAACTAATTTTTATAGCTTCTCAAAAAACCTCAAGTCTAATTTTAAATAAAGTATTCTATTTTAAATGGTGTGCCAATACTTTTGTTCCTCACTGTATATAAGAATATAATTTTTCACAATACTCTTAAACTTCTTCACAATTATCTTAAATTTTAATTTAACAGACACTTGGCTTAAACAACTTTCATTATTTCACATGAAAATCTTCAAACAAAAGCTACTTTTATAATAAACTTGTCAATATACCGTTTACTGTGTTTAAATTGAGAATATGCTTCCAGTTACAGATAACGTTGCCTTGATAACTTAAAGTTTCGAAATTTTGTTAACATTGTTCAAAAATTTGAAATTGTAATCGCACCTGCCATTCTTCACTACATCTTGGATCTCGTTGCACATCTCGTAAGCCCTCCGGAAACGTTTTTCCTTTTGCTTCTGCCCGCTTTTGCCAGTCAAGCATAAAAAAATAGAATGCATTCTTTCCTTTATTTTTCTTCGACATAGTATTCCAGGATGTCAAATAATTAACTACTGGTATTATGTTGTTCGTTATATACCATAGGCATATAAGAATCAATAAGAATACACTGCACTAATATCGAAACAGGCCCATCCAGGCCCTTCAGACTCTACTTTGCTCTACTTGCCTCTACTCTTGCGAATTTGATGCAAATTTTAGGTCAGCGTCTCAGTACCAGGAGGCGCTGATATCGTTTTTCTCATGCATACCTTGTATGTATGTATCACTGATTTTTACATACACAACTAAAGATATCGTAACGTCATGTTCCCGCGAAATTTGTCGCCGCGTTATTCAATTGTTTCAAAATGAAAAGAATTAAAGAAATATGGCGCACATGGTGGCAGCGTGGATGACTGAATTTCCAGGTTCGTAAATTCCATTATTATATTATCACTATTATTATTATTATTACTGTTATTATTATTATTATTGCTATTATTAGGTTTTCAGGTTTTTCAATAACTTCTGCTGATAAGATGCAGCAACAGGAGGCAAAGATTAAGTACAGAATTTTTTAAAACTGTTATTGAAAACATTAACTGTTTACATTGCTGTTTTAGTAATATATTTAATTTTAATTATTAAAATGTGTCTTTAAAAATAGAGGAAGAAAATATGCAGCATCAGAGGGTATATGTACTAACGAAAACAGCAGGATGTTTTTCTCCCAAGAAAGAAAGGATGAATAGATAGTACAGCGGTGGAAGTTGTGACAATCCAAAGTCAGTGCTTCCACCTGAAAACTGAAATTCCAGGTGATCTGCAGCAGCTACTTTGAAGAAAAATACTTCATGAGGAAAACATCAGCAGTTCCAACACCAAACTTACTTGGTAATAACTCTTATATCATTTTGATAGCATATATAAATAATTGTTATTGAAAATATTTATTACATTGTCAGAGGCAGCCTCTATTAAAATAGAGCAACAAGACACCTGGATGAAAATAAAAAGAAGAAAAACAAGATTGTAAGTATTCTGTTTACATACATATACAATATATAAAACCATTCACATGGTATTAATACACTTAGTATACATAATAATACTTCTAGCATGAGGTGTATGTATAATGTTATATAGTTTTGTTCTTATAGTTAAACGTGACTGCACCAGGGGAGTGGTGAACGTGATTTTCGAGACATTCTGTATGTGTGTGATGCACATACACCCCATTTGTAAGTATGTGGACACCCTCTAAAACAGAATGCTCTTTTTAAAATTGAACCAAATAACTTACGATTCTTTGAAGAGCTATAAAAATTAATATACTAGATGATATGCTTTTGTCTTTTTACATATTATAAAAATGCTGAAAGGCATTTTTTATAATTGTTTCTTTTGGGCCTGTAATGAAAATTAAAAACATACATTTTGTAGATGTAAATAAGCTATATATAAATAAATGAAAATGTCAACGCGTCTAAAAGTTATAAACAATTAAAATTGGCAAAAATCGTAACTAGTCACGAATAATCGTGAGTAATCGCAATTTTCACTAATTAAAATTTTTTTTTAAGTGCTTCACAAGTTAATATATTTCAAAGTTCTATTTCATTGAGGAATTATAAATAGAAATTACATAATTATTAAAAATAAGAACTGAAACTGTTGAATCGCCATATTGTCCTGGATGAGATTATATTATTTTGTCGACTCCAGGCCCTCCAAACTCCCGTATTTCATGCTGTAACGAAAATTAGTACTACGCGCAAATTCCAGAATCGCTAGTGTCGCTACGAACACATAAATGATCGGAATTTACTCGACGCTTGCATCGCCTTAACTTAAGTAATATTTTTTCGTGAATCCAAAAATATTCACATATATGTATAATATGCAAAGACAAAAGTATCAGTAATATTTAAATAGAGGAATAATAAAGTAAATTGAAAATTGTTTAATTGTATATACAAATTTGGAATATCTGCATTTGTGCACACCTTTGGATTTTTTAATATTGTTCCAAAGGATAAACCTCAACAAATTGTAAAACAAATACGTATTATATAAATTAAGAAAGATGGATCAATAAAATTTTAAATGTATAGTGAATCAAGTGGTTTTAATGAAATTCATATAAACTTTACATTTGACAATTACGTATATATTTATATACAGATTATAATGAATTTTGAATGAATATAAATTATTTTGATATTTCCATTAGTATTATCAACATGGTATTTCCAACAAAATTAGCGCATAAAGCAAATAGAATTTCTTATCACTATTATAATGTGTTCGTGATATATTTATTAATGTTTACATTATTTATTATTTTAATAGCAACATATATCTTTAAATTTGAAAGTACTCAAAAGCATTCGATATATAATGCTATTGTTTTTAATGATTTAACTTCTTTACCTATACATGCAATAGATGCAGATTCCCCTACAGCAGATGCAACGAATTCTTCTTGCACATATTTTAGTTGTTTTAACGTTTATCGTTGTGGTAGTCAAGGAAATAAGCTTTTAGTATATGTTTATCCACCAAAAACATACATAGATGCTTCAGAAAAGCCCATTACGAGTCAAATGTCAAAAGAGTTTTATCAGATTCTATTTACTATAATTTCAAGTAAATTTTATACACCAAATCCATATGAAGCATGTATTTTTATCCCTTCGCTTGATACATTAAATCAAAACAGATTAAAGTTACAAGAAGTTTCGCAAGCTCTAAAATCATTACCATTGTAAGTGTTTATCACACAATTTGCTATGCTTTAAAATAACATATAACATTAGTATTTTATTGTCTATACTTTAGCTGGAATAATGGGGAGAATCATCTTATATTTAATATGGTACCTGGAAGTGTGCCTGATTATAATACAATCATTGATGTACCAATTGGAAAAGCAATGATTGCAGGAGCTGGAATGTCATCATTAACATATAGATCTGGTTTTGATATCAGTTTACCAGTATACAGTCCTTTAATAAACAATTTCAAACCAAATGTTAACAATACAAGGTAATACAATTTATATATTTGATTGTGCTTATTTATAGTATCAATAATTTACACATTTTAGGCAGTGGTTAACAATTTCATCTCAGATTAACATTAACTCTGCTTTCGAACAAGATTTAATAGAAGTTAAATCTCTGTCGCCAAAAGAAATATTAATATTAAGTCCGTGTTTACAGTATAGTTCTATGAATAGTACAATTCGATGTGCAGAAACAGATGTTTATAAGTATCCTGATGTACTTCAGGTATATATACTAATAGAAAATTTTTCTAACAGAAAAGACATTCTTACGTTTAAACTATTTTTGTTAGACAGCAGTATTTTGCTTAGTGATTCGAAGTGCAAGACTTGGGCAGAGTACACTTCTAGAAAGTATGGCAATGGGTTGTATACCTGTAATTATAGCTGATTCTCTTGCAATGCCCTTCCATGATGTAATCGATTGGACCAGGTAAAAATTAAAGATAATAGTCCTTATATATAAAAAAATAATGGATATATTCTTTACATAGAGCTGCTATATTTGTACGTGAAGTAGATATTTTGTCAGTGATATCAGTCTTAAAAAAGGTGTCACAGCAACGAATTACAGAACTTCAACAACAAGGTGCATGGCTTTACGAAAAATATTTTAAATCCATGGAAAAAATAACGGAAACTACGTTAGAAATACTTGCAGATCGTGTGTTTCCACATTTGGCTAGAGATTACATTTTTTGGAACATATCACCTCGCAAGGAAAGTATAAATATTTTAATTTAAAAGTTATCAATAAGTTCAAAAAAACATAATCTGTTATATTATGTATACAGGATATTACATCTCCTCTTTTGTTACCTATTACTGCGCCAAAAACTCGAGGATTTACTGCAGTAATTTTAACATACGATAGATTGGAATTACTATTTCTCTTGATTAATAAGCTCGTTAAAGTGCCAAGTCTGAGTAAAGTGCTAGTAATTTGGAACAATCAACATAAAGATCCACCGCACTGTAAGTTAATATTATATTAACCGCACATAATATTAATTATATTATTAAATATCATATTTTACATTGCTTATTTATATTGTAGCGTCAAGGTGGCCGAAATTAAACAAACCATTAAAAGTTATACAAACAAAAGAAAATAAATTATCTAACAGATTTTATCCTTATGATGAAATTGAAACTGAAGCAGTTTTGTCAATAGATGATGACATTATTATGCTGACTGCAGATGAAGTAGAATTCGCCTATGAGGTTTGTTCGCTAGAAATTTTTGTCTACATTGTCTGTATATGAAAATAGGATAAATAAAAACAAAAAATAATTATTAGGTTTGGAGAGAATTTCCCGATCGAATAGTTGGCTTTCCATCCCGAATTCACATATGGGATAATGGTACAAATTGTTGGAAATATGAAAGCGAATGGACTAACAGTATTTCTATGGTTTTAACTGGAGCTGCATTTCATCATAAAGTAATAAGTTACATACTTTATTATTTAAGAAATTAAAAATATTCCAACATATTTTCATCTCGCAATTAGATTAGACATACACGGCAAGTAGTAAAACGGGTACGAACGCCCAAGATTACCTGCCAGTATAATTAGAGGCACAGGCTCGAGCAAGTTGTTTAAAAGCGAGGAAGCCTACAGTAGAATAGTAGACGCAAGTTCGTGACAAGCACGTGAGAATTCAGACGTGCAATTGCACGTACATACCTGTCTTAAATATTACCAAGTATAAGATCTTCGTCTAAAAAATATATCTAGTATCGAAAAATATGTCCAGTTCAAGTTTTCCAACATGTCCCAACTTTTCTAAATATAAGATTATGCATAATTGAATTATTGTTTTATAATAACCTTATATGTTAATATAATTATAATTATTTCAGTATTGGAATTATATGTATACTACTGCTATGCCAGGAGATATCAAAGAATGGGTTGACGATCACATGAACTGCGAAGATATAGCTATGAATTTTTTAGTAGCAAATATTACGAGAAAAGCACCGATAAAAGTAAGTTTATCCAAATTTTCAAAAGTTTGAAATACTCTACATGCTGACTATAACTGTATGTTATTGTAGGTAACACCAAAAAAGAAATTCCGATGTCCAGAATGTACAAATACTGAAATGCTTTCAGCAGATCTAGCACATATGGTGGAACGCACACAATGCATAAATAAATTTTCTTCAATCTATGGGTCAATGCCATTACAGTCAGTTGAATTTCGTGCAGATCCAGTTTTATTCAAAGATATATTTCCTGAAAAGCTTAAAAGATTTAATGATATTGGAAGTTTATAAAGTTTTATTATATACTTTAAAAGAGATTTCCTTTACTAATATTAAATCACTTTTGTAAAATATTTATTGTACATTATCTTACTTGTTATTACATTATGTAGCTATTTATAAAAAGAAATTATTTATATATATTCGTGCATTTAATTTTATTATATACCATTTTTTATTTGTTGTTCTTCACCAGAAATGTCTAATTGCTGCTCGCGATAAAAAGTTATTCCCCTCCCGAGATATTTCTACCAGGCCCTCCAAACTCGTAGACGTTCAAGCCAGCAGTCCCATTTGAAGTTGGAATGGAAGACCAATAACGTCATGAAAACATTACAAAGTAGTGCGGAATATTACGTTTTTCATTTGTGCCCAGTGCAATAGCAACGTGACAGTGAATAAAAATATGTACTTGAAAGAATTGGTCCCTTTCTGACTACGTAGTGAAATTCTGTGAAAAGTGATAGTGATCGTGCGGTTGAGTGAGTTCAATGATCCCGTCTAGAGATCAGCTGTTCTTCGTAACGTGTTCCCTCTAATGTTTAGGATCGGTACAATGACCCAGTGACAGCAAACCATTTTCATTGCAGCTGAGTCATTCACAGACGGATGGGGAAGTTTCATTTACATTCAATCCTTTTTTTATTATTTGCAAACTTCTTTTGATTTCCAAAACGTCTATGCGGTTTTTTCACATTTGTTTCAAAACTGACTACAAAGTATTTTTTTAAATTCCTATCGTACAACAAATAAAAGTGTTAGATTAATTGGATTTATTCATTCTACATAAACAACGATTCATTATTTGGTGAACTTGTAGAAAAGCTACTCCCCCTCCGATTTTAATGATTTCTAAATATGTATGTTGTAAAATTCGACAATTTTTTTTGGTAATTATTGAGATTAGGTTACACCTCACTGATTTTGATGAAATTTAAATATGTTGTAAAACTCTACATTTTGAACAACTTTTTCCTATACATATAACTGCCGCTCGGCCTTAGTTTTCGAGATATTTTCGAAAAACTGCTGCTACTACTACTACAATGAATTCAGGGCCTCAAGTCGATGTTACAGTAAAACCTCATTTATGCGGCCTTCGATCAACCGAGCCTCCGCGTTATCCGAGACAACGGACTGATCCGAGCACTCTGCATTAATTGAGGTGTATGCTCGGATAATACGGAAAAACTCGGATAAAACGGATGAAATCGCTGTGCCTATGCTGTACGCACGTTTTCATTTTTATATACTTTTGTGATTAAATTTCATTCTATCATTTCAAATACATAAAAAACAATTAAAATTTTCGAATTTTTTATTTCTTCCGTGTTATCCGAGGGACTTTATCCCCACATTACCTCGGATAAACGAGATTTTACGGTACTGCCGAACCATGCCGAACGCGTCAAGGAGAGCTTCGCTCTAAAAAGTTGTTTAGAATCACCTCAGCAATCATCCCTCTACGGGATTCAGATTGACTGCGCCTTCCCGTTAGAGAGTCATGATAATACAAGAGTGAGAGAGCAATATTCAGGGAATCCTTTTCTATCTCTAATACGTAACGTTCCAGCTCCGGTCCGACCACGCTTTGATCCCGACTAAAATCTGAAGTAGTTATGATCCCGTTACGTAACACGCGGGCACTCCGGTACCCTATGAATAATTTTATGTGCATGCTATCCTAAACTATTTTACCATTATCCTTATTACCTATTTTGTATTATTTTATTCTTACATGTTTTGAAAATACAATCGTTAAATGAAAATAAATTAGAGTTGTTTGTTTAACTTAATCTAACTTAATCTAAATATGTCTAATATTATTTTCATGATAAAAATCTTAATAGATAATTTTATAATAATCAAGTAAATAAATTAATTTGTTAACCATAGATATCAATGTGTAGATGAGATCCATTTAAACAATTCCAAGTAGAATGTGTTATCTGATTTTAAAACAAATTCCTTCCACGACTGCTTTCTTACCAACTTCATCAGATGATAGAACAGCCATGTGACTCTAAATAAAAAAAATATATATATATAAATATCGTATGTTGATTTATATATTGTTATATTTAAATATAAACAAAATATACTGTTGCTGTTTGTTCGCAGGAATTCATGTAACCTATTATCATAGAATTAGTCGAATAACTCCAGAGAAAGTCTCCTAATCCTTCTTCTACTGTATATCGTATAGCAATAACACCACCAAGTTTCTGATCAAGTCCGCATAAAAACTTTGAACCTAAAAGAAGTTTTTACTTATCTATAGTCAAATGTATTCACCATTTTTTTGTAACAGGAAGATTTTTCACATTCGAAGGCAAATAATAAAAGAGTCACAGGTTTTCACCAATAAAATCAGCTTTCATAGCCTGATGCAAGCCAAGAATTGGGCAAGAATTGTCAGATATAGCTTCTGCAGCTGTCCTCGCTAATGAAGTACGAATAAGGTGTTCTCCACAACCTGATGTACTTGTTCCTATAGAATATTTGTCTTTGTATGCCCATATACCACCTCCCCACATTCCAGCCTTAAAATTAAAATACAACAATATTATATTTTCCAAGTGACTAATATTAATAAAAAGGACTAAAAACAAAATTATATAATTTAAAAAAACAGATACTGTACTTGTCCTACTCTTCCTGGATATTTTAAAATTATACCACCACTGGAACAAGCTGCAGCAATATTTCCCTCCTTATCAACACATATTGCACCAACTGTATCCATTCTTTTGTTAGCATACTTTAAAATCAGGATGTTGATATATTTAGAAATAAAAAATTATTAAAATATAAATAACAGATTATTTACCTTACAAATTTCTACATTAGAATTTTCTATTTTTCTCTTGTAGTATTTATACATTTTTTGTGCCTTTGCTAAAAATTATAACAGAATATTATAAAAAATAATAAATTATAGTACTTCGTCTGACATAAATATAATTATTGTTGTTAAATTAAACATTATTTTACATACTTGAGATTAACTGTTCAGGAGGTACAGTTTGTATTCCCATTTCTTGTGCCCACATATGTGCTCCATTTCCAACTAGAAAACTTATATTGTGATAAAGTAATAAAAATTCATTCTATTATTTCAAACTAAGTTGTTGAACAAAAAGAGAGCATGCTAGTGAAATTTGCTAGTTTTTGAAGAAAGGGTAAAATGCTAGATTAAGGAATGCACAGTTAAGGAATGTACAAATGAGTACATAATATTTATTAAATATAAAATACAAAATAGATAAATGATTTTATTGTTAGTAATGTATTGAACCCTTCTCTTTTTTCTCTATTAATTTCAATATTCAATTTGACAATGAATTATATAATTTACAATATTAATTTTCAAATATTAATTTAACATGCTACATAAGATCATCTTAACAATTTTCAATTATGTTTAAATCCAAAAAAAGATCAAGATTTCTTTTCCTGAAAACTATTCTTTAACTATTTTGAAACATGTAATGCAGTATTATCCTGCTGATAAATAAATTCTTTCTAAATAGTTGTTCTTTTCAAACACTGGGATAAAAATAACTTCTATAAATACTCTGAATGTATTATTATTACCCCCCCCCCCTCTTTCTACTGAACATTTTGGTTTGATTTATAAAAAGGAAATCAACTATATTGAATGTGGCTTTTATTTTTCAAAATGCACTGTTACCATACAATCTACATTATTCAAAATATTTCAAATTTGAATTATGAAACACTGGAATTAAAATTTCAAAACCACAAGATTTTTAATCTACTTAAATTTACATTATTTAAAATATTCCAAGTGTATTATTGAACATCAAATAATTTGATTAATGTTTTATCTTTCTGTCTAACAGTATATACACAATTTAATTCTTGACATTTACCTTGGTGGAATTCTGCCATATGCAATTTTGATTGATTGATATTCACATAGTCGTTTTGCCAACAAAACAGGATTTTTTATTCCACTAACTGCACCAACAGCTCCAAATTGCAATGTAGTACCATCCATGACACTGGCATCGCATTCCACTGATCCTTCTAATGTTAAATTGGAACCAAATCCAGCATTCGTTAAAGGAGAATTTTCTAACATGATTACTGTTTCTACTACTGCATCCAGTGAGCTACTAGTACTTTTTAAATTCTCTATACCCTGTATAAAAATAAGTATTTTTTATTATCATTTAACAATTTAAGATAGTATGAATAAAAAAAAACATAACTTACAGCTTTACATGCTTGACGGCATAACTTCTGATATTGTTCTTTAAGAGTTTCCGAATGTCGTCCTGCACCTAATAAAATATATGACACATGTTAATTTTTATTATTTATTTCAGATTAATTTTATTCCATGTTTATTACAATATATATTTATGAAAATTAATAACGTACCAACGTGAACGGCAATAAACCCTTGATTAACATTACTCATCAAATCTAATTATTTTTTACTTTTACTAAACGTTTATATATATAGTTCTTATAATTGTAGATTACATATGATTTATACAGTACATAAGTGACATAAGTATATTGTTTTGAAGCGTACTGTTGATTACAAATGTAAACTACTTACATCAGTACATCGTACATTATTCACATACATCGTCGCCATACTTCAATCATCCCACTTCAAGCGATAGCGTTGGATATTCAAATCATGAGATTACAGGTTTACAACTAAATTCACGCGACACTGCATCAGGCGAGGTTCGCAACATATCACTAAAATAAAATAAAATAAATCTATTTTTATAATTTTATATTATAACACATATGAATATAACTAGTTTTTTTTCACTAACGTATTTTAGGCAAAAAGAAAATTATTAATTAAACGAATCCAAAAATAATGTATTGTATTATAAAGTTATACTTAGATACGTATTTGTGTATAATTGTGTATAATATCCCGTAAATAAATATAAGCATGAAGTTATATTTATACATTATAAAATATAAATTTTAAAAATATGATTATTACTTTTAATCATGTAACTAAGTTAGATGAAATTATAGTTTTTAAATTAAAATTCAAAAGTATAAAATTATATAAAGGTGTATTTCATGAAATTGACACTGAGGGGCGTTAATTTTTCCATTATAGACGCGGAAGTTGACAATCCGTCTCTGAATTAATATTAATGGAATTGAGCAGTACAGTTTATTATTTGCTACGTTTAACTATCACTCAGTATTTACTTATGTGAAATTACAATTTTTACGAAATTATATCAAATTAATGCTTCCAGTAGGTATATTTACACTTTTAATTTAAATTCCCAATTTTATGTTATCAGTGTACGTTTATATTTATTTGTATTATTTGTATTATCAGATTGTATGAGGTTATTTGTTGTTTTAGGTTATTTCAATTAATAATTCAGATTCAACAATTATCCAACAAAGTTCAGTGTATATACTGTAAGTATTAATTGAAAATAAATTTGCTTTTTATAAAAAAGTGAAAAGTTGATTTATGTTGTAACATTTTTTTGTAACTAATAAAACCTTAACATAATTTTCAGGATTATATGAAAAATAATACGAAATATTATATTATATTGAATGGCCTTATTAATAAAAAACATTTGGACTTTGTGTTGCAAGCAATTGTTTCTTTATAATAATCATGTTGATATTTGACTTGTTAAAAAAATTTTTTGGATGGGCAGACGAAGCACCTAGAAAGCGTAGAGCTGTTTCGTTTAGTTTAGAAAAAGAATTTGTAACACCAAAAAAGCATCGTTGTGATTACAAAACTATCAATGTGGAGGATGAACGTACTGAGATTAAAGATGATAGTGATAACGATGATGACGATGTTCAAATTATAATCAAACATAAACATTCTCCCACTAAAACGTTCAATAGGGTAAATGGCAAATGTAATAATAAAGAAAAATCATTTACTTGCTGCACACCATCATCATCAAAACGTCAAACGTGTTATGATAAAGTGAACATGGGGTATTTTGGTAATGCAAGTGAAAGAGTACATAATGTTAGAACACACCGACAATGTGTCACATTAAATAAAACTCGCCGCCTGAAAGAAAAAAATCAGTATGAAGAATTATTACAAAATTTTCTCCCGCACAGAATACATGTTATATGTGATAAACATGAAGAGAACGGACAGATGCAAGAACCAGCAGAAGTAATAGATTTAGAAAAATTTAATATCCCATCCAGTTCTAAAACGCATCCAATTAGAAAACATGAAACTTCACAATCATGTTGGAAAAAAGAGAAGAAGAAAGAAATAGTTATTACTTTAGATAACGATAAAATAGATAAAATTTCCGATAAAATTCCATCTCATAGTAAACATATTAATAGAGAAAAATGCACACAAGTTAGAAATATAGAACGTGTAGCAAAAAACACATTAAGAGATCACTTAGCAGCGAAAGCTGTGATGAAAGAGGATTTTGTTCCACAAATAACAAAACGATACAATGAACGTATAGAACAACGCTATAAGGAAGCCGAAGAACTTAAAAAAATGACATGTATGTTGTCTAAACATAATCGTTTAGCAAGGGAAGCTGCATTAGAAGAGCATTTAGCCAGATCGATGAGATTATGTGAGGCTGTTTTGGATGAAACAGAGAAACTAGAAGAATCAGAATTACCTACTTTAACAGAGGAAATGTTACAGGAAGTAAAGCATGCTCTTATTCCTCGACCACCTGATGAAGTTCTTGTAGAAGGTTTTGGTTTACGAATCACAAGGAAAGATATTTATACATTAGCTGACTTAAATTGGTTGAATGATGAAGTAATCAATTTTTATATGAATCTATTAATAGCTAGAAGTAGCAACGATAAATACCCAAAGGTACATGCTATGAATACCTTCTTCTATCCAAAACTAATCTCAGGTGGACACGCATCTTTGAAGAGATGGACTAGAAAAATTGATATTTTCGCACAAGATCTTGTAGTTGTTCCTATACATTTAGGTATTCATTGGTGTATGTCAATAATTAACTTTAGAGACAAAACTATTCGGTATTATGACAGTATGGGTAGCAGTAATCCGAAATGTTTATCTGCATTACGACAATATTTGGAAAATGAAAGCTTGGATAAAAAGAAACAAACATATGATACTAGTGATTGGAAATTAGAATCTGTCAAAAATATTCCTCAACAAATGAATGGGAGTGATTGTGGTGTTTTTTCTTGTATGTTTGCTGAATATATTTGTTCAAATAAAAGAATCACATTTACACAGCAAGATATGCCATATTTTCGGAATAAAATGGTTTATGAAATATTAAAATCCAAGCTTTTATAGAAAGACAAACAGATATTCATTTAAGCATTGATGATAAACAAACAAAGTAACTTCCATAAATTTCATATATACCTTGGAACAAAAGAGTTTATTATTGTGTAAAGTATTTTAGAATATAATTTATCAGTGATGTTGAATAAACAGTGTTCTTTTTATTATTATTATTGTAAATTCAGTATGATTTCTTTTGTGCTATTAAAAATATATTTTTGTTTAAAAATGTAATAATGATTCTTTTGTAATCTAGAAAACAATAGTTACTTGTGATCTTAATATAATAAACAATTTTTTTTCTTAATAAAGTAACACTTTTTATTTTAATACTAATTATAATAACAGTTATATGTATCCTTTACTAGAAGTAAATAATGTACTATGTTCTGTTTCAAATAAATGTATTGTTTAAGAAAGTACGGATATTTTTCCGAAAGACACTTCCGATCACTATGAAATTTTTGTTGGGAGAGGGGCTGAAATCTAAGTTTAAAATTTTAGCTACAGGTATTTATTAGTTTTCGAGATGATAATACAGGCGTAACTAACCCATTGAATGCTGCTTGAATGTGTAGACGTTACTAATAACCCCCTGTGTCTCGGGGGGATTAAAATACGGCCACGGTAACCTCTGCCTGTCGTAAGAGGCGACTAAAAGAGGGATGTAAAGGAACGAGTAAGGCAGTATGATGTAAAAGTAATGCAAAAGTGTGAGAAAGAAAATGTAACTGGCAAGGCGAAAAATGTAATGCGAGAAAAGGAATAATGTAATGTGAAAAAGGCGCGTGGACGCTAATTTTCAGTAGGCAGAAAAGGGCCTTTGTCCCTAGATCATGCAGCCCATTTTAAGAGGGAAGCTATAAAAGATAGAAAGAAAGATGTTACATTAGTAACCTCCTTCACATTCAGGGGTCCTCATTACATCGTCAAGTGTGTTACGGGGAAAACGTAACGTTGGTTGATAACACGCGAACAGTATCCGTAGAATACTTGCTCGTGGCGAAATAAATGACACGATGAACTTCGTTTGAGAGTGAGAAATAATCTGATTCTTTATTTTTGTGGCCTGCTTATATACATACGTACAGTTTCTAGTGGAGAGGTACAGGGTTTCAAGGTCCAAAGGGTCTAATGCAGGCATGGGCAGCTATGTAGTAAACGGAGCCGGAACGCTCCCAAGAGCTCCGAACTCCGAAGCTTGTCGGCGAGCTCAAAGTGGAGCGCGAACCGAACCGAACGGCGGAGAAATATCCCCACTCCGTAGTATCTCGAGGTTACGCAGTCAAATCATGCATGTGTGACGTTCTCTGTCGAACGCCACACATTCGTATCACCTCGACCGCCGCAGCTCGATTCCCCTGCAATGCTGCCCCATCACTTCGAAAGAGCGAATCAGTAGAATGACGTGCGCTCCCAAACAGTGTCGATGTCAGACGCGCTCTTTGAGCCGGTTTCGTGCCCATGCCTAGTCTAATGTGTCATGGAAGGTGATTTGCAAACTGTTTGATGTTCTTGATGTTTCGGTACAAAGGCTATTTCCTTTTGGGTGACTCGCTGTCAGATATTTATCCTTATCTCCGAGGAGGCGTCTATCTGACCGTTACAAGGATCCAGGAACCGATGACATATACAGTAAAGAATCGATAAGTGTTCAGAATTTCGGACCGGCGACGAACATTTAGCGGACAGATTTGATTGTCCAACTGTTTCTAGTTTGCCGACATCAACGTAGAAAGAGACAGAAGATAAAAGAAGATGGATTCGAGCTGACATAAGAGTTAAAAATTAAATCCCTACATTTTCGTGAAACAACACTAATGTAACAGCGACATTGTTTTATTTATATATTATGTTTTTTGAATGAATGAATGAAGGAGAGGTATGAGAGAGAGGAGTCGGAAGCTAAGGGAGGAGAGAACACGGTAGGGAAGAGAAATAGAAAGACAGAAAGAGGCGAAAAAAGAAAGAAACTGTTATTGTAATAGATCGTGGATGATACATATGTACATAATACTCGTCCCAATTGCGTGACACTTGTATGTATTTCCAGCACCTTATAGCAACTTTGTTTTTCGAAACTAATAAAATATACAAAGGAGTGTTAGTCAATATTCTGAGTGAATGCAAATAATTTAAATAAATAAATATCATATCGTCGGGTAACATTGAAAAAATCCTTTCCGATTCCGCATTAGAATGCGGAAGACACCTAACGACATTCAATAATGAAGTGAGCTGTGGAAATATAGCTTTTTTCGCTATATCAATCCACATCTCGTCGAAAGATGAACTAAACCACTTTTCCCTATCCACGCAAGACGGAAAAAAATACAACGAATCTCATTCCCTTTCTAAAGCTTTAATATCTAAATGTCCTAATCTACGCGTGACCGCGACTACATTGAACAAAGTTTTCTTCATATCACTACTCAAAACGTTCGCATATTTGAAAGCTGTTAGGTCCCCTAAAAATAAATCGTCATGAGGACGACGATTACGTATTTCATTACTTATGGTAACGTACTTAGAACTGTAAGCAATTTTCGCGGAACTTAATAATTTTCACTTTCTACTATAACACCCTTAATGCAATGCCTCTCCTCTCTCTTCCAAGTGCAGTTCACACTCCAGTTCCACCAAGTGTTTCACTTCATTTAGTGGAACTTGGTTAGATTGGCAGGAACGAACCCATCGTCCACGCGCCTATGGGGGGGGATGTGGGGTTGTTGGGCAGCGCTGCCAACCCCAAACCCCGCGCATTTTTTGAACTTTTTTTTTCTTTGGCTTACACATTTTCCGTACTTTTAAATTCCGTGAAGTTTATCCACTCCAATACTTTTACTTACTTTTATATACTCCATATACTTTTTTTAGTCTCTATATGTGTCCGTGTATGTGTGCGTGCGTGTGTGTATCGTTGCCAACAGCACACGGTAACCCATCTATTGGCGAAACCGTGCCCACTTAGCTTGACTTCGGTGATCTTACGGGTACCGGTATGGCCTAAGTGGCTAAGGCCGTTATGTGCCTAACTAACGATAAATCGTAATGTTTTATTAGAGCAGGTTTCAAAAACCTGCACAAGAAAAATTGAAGCAGCCTCGCTAAAGCAGGCTGCAATTCCTGAACCATGGTTTGTCTACCCTGGAAAGAGACATTAAAGCTATTTAAAACATTTAAGGTGTACTCGAGGAAATAAAAGTAGCCTTTAATGTTAGACCTATTCAACAATAATAAGAAATTTTGAGCTTATCGACCTTTCAATCACATTTCGCCACCATACTTCAATCTTCCTCGAAGATTATTTACATTAAATTAATTCACTTAATAATTATTATAATTAAGAGATTAATTTATTTTTTCCTCTCCTTTTGTAAAGGAGGCCTGCCTTTACAAAAAGGCCATTACAAAAGTCAATATGGCGTCGAAGTAACATATCAAATACGCTAAAAACGCTCACTTTTACACACGCATAACTTCTGAACCGATGAATACCGCACCTTAAAACTTGGATTTTTAGATTCTACTCGTTAAATACTTCAAGAAGATAAAAAAACAAGGCTATAATTTTTGGGCCCCCGAAGTAAAGTTCAACCCTATCCTGCACATTATTAATTCCGTGACGCGGCCGTGGTGCCCGCGCAATCATATCTCGCGCAGCCCCTAAAAGTCGATACTTATATGAATTCAAAAACGAGTACGTGATATAAACATGTTATTATGTTTATTTACCATGTAATATTTGTAACATAAAAATAGTATTATATTTGTGATTAAAGATTGTAATTATTATCTTTCAATAAATCTTTCGATAAAACTACATATATACATATTTTATGTATATACTGTCTAATTGAAGTATCATAACCTAAATAACCTATTGTATGTCAAAGCATATATACGTCATTTAAAGGGTGATTGGAAATTGCAGTGAAAATGAATACTTATAACGTAATAACACCGGACTTTATAAATTTATGTATTACTAGCTCTAGTCAGCAATCATGCTGTGTAGAACGAAGATTTCAAAAAGGAATAACAATTGATGAATTTAAGGTAAAATATTTAGTAAAAATTACACATCATTTACAGTTTATTGTAAATTTTATTTTATGTCATTATTTTGTTATATTAAAGGGAAAATTAGAACTATTAACGGGCGGTAATCCTGCAACAATGAAGATTGAAGTATATGATAAGAACGATAAATTAATTTGTAAACTAGATGATGGTCAGCGTCTTTTAGGATCATACCCTATTGATAATGGAATGAAAATACTTGTAAATGAATACTTTATAAAGTAATAGAAACATTTTCCGTAATTGTAATAATCGTAAATATATGTAACATTTTAGGTAATAGACAATTTTTCTCGTACTGAAGAAAATTTGAATAATGTAGAAAAATTTGAAATATCTGAAGAAGAATATGCAAAACGATCAGGTAAAGTAATAAAATAGCTACAGATTAAGTATGTATACTTTCTAGTTAGATTTAATATACATAAAGAGTATCAATTCAATTTACACAATTTCAGAAGCCATTGTGATAACTTATTATATTAAACACTCCCAATTTTCTGTTTTAGATACTGTGAAAGCATTTCTAGAGAAAAATAAGTTAGGAAAATATAATGAAGAAGAAATGAAAAGAAAAGCGGAAGAAAAAAAAAAAGAAGAAGAAGCAGAAGCTTTAGCTGCTCAATCATGCAAAGTTGCTGATCGATGTGAAGTTTGTGTTCCAAATCAACCAAAACGAAAAGCTACTATTATGTATATTGGCAAGTATAATGCAAATGTACTTGTTAATAATATCATTTTCAATTATCACATGTGATTATTTTATTTGTAGGTAAAACTGAATTTAAAGAAGGTTGGTGGATTGGAGTGAAATATGATGAACCGCTTGGTAAAAATGACGGAACGTAAGATCATTGTTATCCATTGGCGTAACTAGGTGAGTGCCAGGGTGGGCCTGGCTCGTTTTGAAAATGTAAACTGGCTTCCTCATTATTTTAAGATTCTAGAATTCTAAAATTCCGTAATTTTTTAATTCTGAGATTCCAGGATTCCGAAATTTGTACAAGACCTAGCCCTGCAAACGAATCCTAGTTACGTCAATGTTGTTCTCCTATATTTTTATTGTTACATAATGCACTAATGACTTTTTATATTTTTTTTAACGCAGTGTTAATGGAAAGAAATATTTCGAGTGTTTACCAAAATATGGCGGTTTTGTAAAACCAGCTCATGTAAAAGTAGGAGATTTTCCAGAAGACGAATTTGATTTGGACGAAGAACTGTAAACTATTAATATTATTATTCATTTTTTTAATCAAAAATTAGAATTTACAAAAAAATCTATAATTAATATTTGTTATATGTAAAAATGCTTAATATTTCCTTCGCTTTATTATATCCGGCCTCCAATTCACAGGATGTGTTTCTTCCGTCTGAAATTATATAAATAAAAAGATAACTGTATTAAGTCTATCTAAAAAATAAATTATTCTTACAGCAGTTTCATCTTCTCTGTAAACTTTGATTGTTTTATCCGCTTCTGTTGTGATCATTCGTGTACCAGACATGTCAAACGTAATACTAAATACTCCAGCTTCACTGTCCATTGAACCAGGTTGAACTGGCGCTTGTAACCGTTGGAAATTATACCTTAAAATTTACATAATATTCATAAACAATGTTATAAATGAATATAATATAATGTTTATGTTACCCTGTCCTCCAATCCCAAAGATGCATTGTGCCATTATCTGCTCCAGAAACTAAAACACCATCAGCATTAACAGCCAAACAATTAACTATGGCGTTGTGACCCGACAAATTTTGAATAAATTTGCCTTCTGGACACTTCCACTGCTTAATGTTATCTGGAGATGCTGATGCGAACATGTATCTAATAATTGGTATAAATTAGCACAAAAATAAAAGGCAAAAAGAATTTAAAGAAACATACTTACAGCGATGGATGAAAAGTTACAGCTCTCACACTTTTCTTATGATTTGTTAAAGTTGCTCTAGATTTTCCTGTAGCTAGATCCCATAATCTTATAGTACAGTCATGACTTCCTGTGACAATCTGATACAAAGAGTATCATTTTAAAATATCAAATATTTTCTATTGAAGAATGTAAAAGCAAGAAACCACTGTACCTGTGGTTCAGCTGTTTGACAAATTACACTAGCGATTGTATTAGTATGACCAACAAGTGTGTGTACATTTGCTTTAGTACGCATATCCCATACTCTTGCAGTAGAATCTCTACCTGCAGTTACTAATACATCTATAGTAGGATGAAGTGCCATCGAATACACAGCTGATAAATGACCGTGATAGTGCCTTATAACCTTTAAAAATGAAATAAAAGTAAATTATAATTACAATCACAGTATTACAAGTAAATTAAATTATATATAATAACCTTGTTGTATTCAAGATCCCAGCACTTTACTTGTCGGTCTTCTCCGCAAGAAAATAGATATGGATGACGTTGAGAAAATGCAAGTCCACGAACACTACTTATGTGACCAGTCAAAGAAACTTTCAATTTACCACTGGCAAGATCCCATATCTATAATTTTTGAAATTAATTTAATATATGTTAAAAGGAAGTGTATTCATAATTTTTATGTAATTCAATGAAATACATCTCACTTTAATAACTCTATCTGCTGAACCTGTGGCAAACCATTCATTGCCTGGTTCAACGGCACAACACCTGACCCAACCAAGATGGCCACTAATAACTCTGTATAATTTCCATGGTGGATGCCATTTTGGTTTTGCCATAGAAGTTGTTTTCTTCTGCGTTATAAGCATAGTATTATTTACGTTTCCACCTGAACTTGCTTGTGTTGTTGCTATTATACTACTACTTTGTGTACTGCTATAAGGTACTGTTGCTGTAATACTATTTCCTCCAAAAGATTCATCTATAAATTAAGTTTTTATTAAAACAATAATAAACTTACATTTTATGCATGTATGTACAATGTATACATACCACCTGGTGGAGGAGGATCTACATTTTCATTTTCTTTTTGTGGTTTCATCATATTGTTATTTCTAACCCGTTCCAACACAGGACCATAAGAATCTTTTGCTTTTATAGACTTTTTCATTTTTTGCCTATAAAATGTTATTGTTGTACTTGATTAAATTTATTTATATTAATGTGAATATAGTATACTTACAAATTTAGATCTAGAGGTGGTAAAGTGCCTTGATTTAATAAAAACATGTCATGTGTCCTTTTTAAAGATCGAAATACTAGAGTATGTACAGAATGTTTTTGTACATCCTATAAAAAAATTTATATTTTTTACTATATGTTAGAATTTTGTAATTTATTAATAATATTTACTTAATAAATAATAATAAATACTTCTTAATAATATTACAGCAATAATTTAGTTAATATAAACGTTAATTAAAACAAATTAAATGTTTTCTTACCATTTTTGTAAAAATTAAGGTTATATTTATTCATTACACTATCACACGAACTGAGGGATGAATCAATACACCGAACTCAAACGATTGTAGCCGAACTCTCTTCGATTAGTGACCAATTTCACACGGTTCTCGATTTTTTGACGAATATTTATGATTCTGTCAGTGACTACAAATACCTAAAGGGTCATTCCATGCCAAATGAATCACTTTTTGACGTCACCATCGGCGATTTTGTTTTAAATGAAATATGGGTGAACTTGTAGAAAAGCTACTCCTTCTCCGATTTCGCTGATTTTTAAATATGTTGCGAAATTCGTCATTTCAAGCAACTTTCTTCCTCTAATATGTCGGACTCAACTACAGTAATGCTTCGAAATAAGCAAGTGGCTCGGGACCGAACAGTTGCTTATTTCGAAGCAGGTAGCTATTCGGCTTGACTTTGTTCTCGAAACGGGACGATAGAGAACGCGAGAAATGAGTGAGAGATCCGAGGTAGCGGCAAATCATAAAGTGATCGGCCGAGCAGCGATGTTATTTTTTGGACAAGGATAGAATATAACATGCCCTCTCATTCTCGCACTATGCTTTATTTCGAAGCAAATATACCAGACTGAGAAAGCATTCTTCTTCTACTAACCGATGTCACTGCTCAGTCAAGCGTGAAATTTATTACCCTAAACATCGGCTTCGCGCTTTCATGGACCTCTCACTCGTTTCTCGTACCTCTCACTTTGCGGGCGACTTCAAACAAAAAAGAGGGGATAGCGATTTGCTTATTTCGAAGCATTACTGTAGTTTGCGAGATATTTGCGAAAGAATATTGTTACTACTACAGCGAATTCTATTTATACGTATGCGCCGGTTTGCTTGCCTATCGTCTGTAAGCAGTACACATTTATTCGGCTTACAAATTTACACTTTTCCTCTATTCATTATGTTAATTTATGTATATATATACCATGTGGTTCAGCTTCTATTCATACAACGGGTGAACTGAAAAATGAAACTATAACATTTGACTCGCGTGGCCGATCGCTTAAAAGTGGCCAGAATAATCTAACCTAACCTAGACGTATAAATAATAAAAACAATAAAATACCGTCAACATTAGTACAGACGGCAAACAATTTTGTAGTGCACAATGATTAATATCAATGTTGACGGAATATAATTTTTTTCGTTATTTATATATCTAGATTAAGTTAGGTTAGGTTATTTTAATATTTCGGTCGCTTTTAGACGGCCGGCCACTTAAGTCCAATGTCAAAATTATTGAAATTAGTAGTTAACTTTGATTTTAAGCTGACCCGTTATATGGACAGTAGCCGGGACATGTGGTGCTGTTGATAAAAACAATACATATGTACATACATATGTATACGTACAGGCGAAATTTAATGCAGTAGTATTCATAGTTTTTCGTGAATATCACGTAAATTAATCGAGTTCAATATAAAACTTAGAGGAAAAAAGTTGCTTAAAATGACAAATTTTACAACATATTTAAGGGGGTAGACACGGGTAATAGTAGCGCGTTGACATTACCGGCAAAAATGGGCATAAAGATGGGTTTACGCGCTTCCGTTATTCAATCGGAGGGAGAGTAGCATTTTTACAAGTTCACCTAAGGAATTAGGGTGGACCATAGGATTTACATAGTGTGAGGACGCCAACGTCACCATGGCCCTTAGCAACCATTTTATGGCATCTTGGCCTTGAAGAGTTTCCCTCGTGAGAGGAGAAATGCCTTGACAAAATACGTATGGCCCACTTCAGCCGTTACATCTACTTCGAATTTTCTGCTTGCTCTCGCCCTCTCTCTACTAGGTTTCGCCGTCAAGGTGGCAACCTTGACCACGACTATGTTCTCAGTTTTCATTCTCTTTTTTCAATCTCAACTACTTTTATGGAATGCATAGTCTACATACATACATATATCTATCTATAAAGAAATTGGCCCGAACTTCCGGATTTCTCTAAAGTGCGGCCCGCTGTAACGTTATGGATCATCAAAGTGGCCCGGTAAAACCATTTGAGTTGGCCAGGCCTAGTCTAAACGATCTACGCAGTGCATTGAAACCGAACATGAAACAAAACGCGATATGCGTGTATGGATGAGTCAGTATATACTGTGACATTAACGGACATTGCTTCTTGGAAATTCAAGTTATGATCCCACTGTAACGTGACCAGACAATTACGCAGTTCCCATAGCTCGTACGTATGCGCAGCGAACTTCTGATTGGGTAGAAATAAGGTGGAGGGGGAAGCAGAGTTGCCGCTCAATAAAAGAGCCAGGTTCTTGTTTCCACAACGTAGTTCCAAACATTTCATCGTTCAGTTGTAATCGTTCGTGAGAAAAGTACTTGCATCATGACTGGTCGTGGAAAGGGAGGAAAAGGATTGGGAAAGGGAGGAGCAAAGCGTCATAGAAAAGTTCTTCGTGATAATATTCAGGGTATCACGAAGCCGGCCATTCGTCGTCTCGCCCGTCGTGGTGGAGTCAAACGTATTTCTGGCTTGATCTACGAAGAAACGCGAGGTGTTCTCAAAGTATTCTTGGAAAACGTTATCCGAGATGCTGTGACTTACACTGAGCACGCTAAAAGGAAAACTGTTACGGCTATGGACGTCGTCTATGCTTTGAAACGCCAAGGAAGAACCCTCTACGGTTTTGGTGGTTAAAGTGTCATTCTTCATTTTTGTTCAGTAAAAAAAAAAAACGGCCCTTTTCAGGGCCACCATATATTTCTTGCGTATGAATTCTCAGTTTCAATCACATTATAATGTTAACATTTTTATACTCCTATATAGTAATAATACCGTACATTACCTTTTATGTAAGTTCAAAGAAAAAAGTATTCTGTGCAGAAGATTTGAATTGCACAATATTGCCCCCCCCCCCCCCCCCCCCCCCCCCCCCAATGTACAGGTTCATAACTAACAACAAGTTCATGTATAACTTAATTTAACAGTTCTTTTTATTCCTGAAAAAACTCGACAGTACAGGTTTAAGGACATGTATATCGCAAAATGTGTAAAATCGTTAAATTGTAATTAGTGTATGTACGAATGCAATAAATAAATAATGTAAAAGGATAATCTGTAGTTATGCATTAGTGTATATCGTTGTCATATAAATTTAAGATAACTTCTTATTTTTTAATACTGAATATATTACGAAATAGATTAGTACTCTGGAGATGTTGCCGTTGATCCGTCAATTCTTTATGATCAATACGGCATTTTAGAACGGCTGGACAAGTTATTATTGACATGTTCGGAATTTTACTCAAATACAAACTGTACAGCTACAAAGAACAGCACCAACGTACATAGCGGCACACATTCGTTTCAGGCATTCTGTCGAATACTTGGGATGTATCTTGCATTAGAAAATCTCAATCCCTTGTATCTATGACACGTTTATAAAATTAGTTTTTATATAAGACGTAACTACTTTTGAACTAAATTCCAAATTGAGTGTATTACAATATACGCTCAAGATTTGACTTTTATGGGTAAAATATTTTTTTGAACCTGATTTAATGATTCTTTTTAAAAGGTGGAAATTACATTTCATAATGAGTGCATTTGAAATTTTAATAAAATGATCACGAAAGTGTTCTTCGTTTGAAAAAAAAATTGGGCCCTGAAAAGGGCCGATTGTTATAAAAGGTGGAGCCTAAAATTTAAGCTCTTTCTCCACGAATACGGCGAGCGAGTTGGATATCCTTCGGCATGATTGTAACTCGTTTGGCATGAATAGCGCACAAGTTAGTGTCTTCGAAAAGTCCAACAAGGTAAGCTTCGCTGGCTTCTTGCAAAGCCATCACAGCAGAACTTTGGAAACGAAGATCCGTTTTGAAGTCTTGTGCTATTTCACGAACGAGACGTTGGAAAGGTAATTTACGGATCAAGAGTTCCGTACTCTTCTGATATCTTCGAATTTCTCTGAGAGCTACAGTTCCAGGCCTATAACGATGAGGTTTTTTCACTCCTCCCGTTGCAGGCGCACTCTTACGAGCAGCTTTGGTAGCTAACTGTTTCCGTGGAGCCTTCCCACCCGTAGATTTACGAGCAGTCTGCTTAGTACGAGCCATGTCACTGAGAATAAAGTATGCTTCGTTCGAACTCCGAAACTACAATGACGCAACGACGATTTTGCTTCCCTTATATGCTTGTAAAGCAGAGTTCCATCTCTACTCTGATTGGTTAGAGTACGTGTGGTGGGGAGAGTTCAGTAGCGCTTGACGAGAGGATTACGTGCTGGACATGGCGCGATGGAGGGGAAAGGACAGCTGGTACTGCTATGCTCGTCTGCTAGCAGGAGTGAATCCTGCTCGCCCTGCAGTCTAGACGCTTTCTCCCCTTCTCCGTGATATAGGAGTGAGAAATCATTCCAAACGAGATTATTTTTGTCCTTCGCTTTCAGCTCCATTTCTCCTGTAACAGCAAGCAGACTATGGGGGTTCTTTTCCTGGTAGAAATAAAACATCTGCATCAACCATTTGGGTCAGATGGTGGGAATTTATGACCTAAATAGTGCATAGTAGGGATGTTCGATTCCGATTCGATTCTTTCGGTAAAAAAATCGATCTTTTGAATCGATTTTCCCCAGAATCGATTCTTTCATGTAAGAATCGAAGATCGATTTTTTGCCCTCTAGTGTTAGAAAATTCGGTGACGGTGTCCGAAGGCTATCAACCCGAAGCCTAATTGCACGGCTAACCAGATGTTAGCCGATTTTACAAGACGGACCCCCAAGAGGCCTGGAAGGACTTTAAGGGCTCGTGAGAACGAGCAAACTTTCCCGGGCTTGAAAAATCAGTCCTGTTTGACCTGCTCTACGAGAAACATCGTAGACGAAATATACAAACTAAAACATTTTTGCTCGAGTCATTCAAATCCTGTCACTCCAAAAGTTCTTCTACTATTTTTCTTACACTAGGGAATTAATTCTCATTTTTTATGTCGACTTTTTGGTTTCGAATTTTTAGAAGAATCGATTTTTCTGATTCATAAAAACATATTCACTCCTAAAAACAGTATAAGAATAGTGATTAAAATATAAACAATGTAGAGCGTCTGCTTTTGGTGTAAGAGCTCTCACAGATTGCAGACTTTGTATCGGCCGATAGTTTGGTCGGGTTCTTAATCAGTATGAAGATGTATGCAAGTGCGCATATTTCAACGATTCGGTATCGGCCGATAAATAAATTTGAAGGGCTACACGATTGCATTCAAAATAAACTATCCATTTCTTTCCACCCTGTTTCTTCTTTCATCAACCCGAGTATTCAGTTGGCCCAGTGTGCGCGTTAACCGGCCAACCCGACCAAACTATCGGCCAATAGAAAGTCGGCAGTCTGCGGGGACTCTAAGAGCATGAAATATAAAAAAAAAAAAACATCGATTCTTTACAATAATCGATGCCGCACAGAAGAATCGTATGGGATAGTCTGTTTACAAAAATGAAAATAAAAAAGTCAATTCTTTTCAAACCGATTCTTGCAGAATCGATTTTTTAAAGATATCGATTCTCTCATTCCAATTCAGGAATAAAGGAATCGATTCTCGAATCGATTCTTTCCGGTGAATTGAACAGGTATAAATTATGTTTTTAACTTTCAGCTTTCTCAAAGCGTTTGAGCATGTGTAATAATTTTATTAATATTGCCTCGAAATAAACAACTCGCTCGGGATCGAACAGTTGCTTATTACGGATCAGGTATGCTATTCGGCTTGACTTTGTTCTCGAAACGGGACGATAGAAAACACGACAAACGAATGAGAGATCCGAGGTAGTGGTAAATCATAAAGTGATCGGCCGAGCAGCAATGTTATTTTTTGGACAAGAATAGAATATAGCATGCCCTCTCATTCTCGTACAATTTCGCTTATTTCCAGGCAAATATACCAGAATGAGAAAGCACTATATAGAATACACATAGTCCATCCTTTTACTAACCGATGTCACTGCTACAATCAGTCGAGCTTTCACGGACCTCTCACTTTGCGGGCCACTTCAAACAAAGGAGGATAGCGAGTTGCTTATTTCCAGGCAGAGACCACTTGCTTATTTCAAGGCAATACTATAGGAGTAAAAACTTATTTTAAATAGCAGAGTATTATCATAAAAATATATTACAATTTGTTGTTACTTTTTTCTTGACGTAATTCTCATACTTTTCTTTCTCTGTAAGTTTACTATATTGTAAAATAAAATATAAACTAGATGAACGAGTAGAAATTTCTTTGTGTTAAAATATTTTGTGGCCCTGAAAAGGGCCATTTGTATGCTTTAATCTTTGCAGATTTAAGTCTTCTTGTCGGTTTTCTTTGGCAATAATACTGCTTGAATGTTTGGTAATACACCGCCTTGAGCGATAGTGACACCAGAAAGTAATTTATTTAATTCTTCGTCGTTACGAATGGCCAGTTGAAGATGACGAGGGATGATTCTGGTCTTCTTGTTGTCACGAGCAGCGTTGCCAGCCAATTCCAATACTTCAGCTGCTAGATATTCCATAACTGCAGCCAGATATACTGGTGCCCCTGCACCGACACGTTCAGCGTAATTTCCTTTTCGCAGAAGTCTATGAATACGACCAACAGGAAATTGGAGTCCAGCTCGATTGGAACGGGACTTCGCCTTTCCCTTAGCTTTTCCACCTTTCCCACGGCCAGACATTTTCTCGATAACTTTGAAAACAATAAGCGAATTGAACTTAAGCAGATGCAGAAGTGATGTGTGATTTGTAGCGGGAACTCCGCTTATATAGCTGTCCGTTGAGGTTCGGAGCGACCAATAAGGCGACAGCTCGTAGCTGATTGGCGCGTCCACGGCTGTCCTTTCCCACTATATATACGGCGCCTCCGCTGCGTTCCGGCATTCAGTCGTGAATTCTCACTGCTACGTATTGTGTCTCGAGTTTACGAAATCGTTACGAAAATGCCTCCTAAAGCAAGTGGTAAGGCTGTGAAGAAGGCTGGCAAAGCTCAGAAGAACATCAGCAAAACCGATAAGAAGAAGAAGAGGAAGAGGAAGGAAAGCTACGCAATCTACATCTACAAAGTGTTGAAGCAAGTCCATCCTGACACTGGAATTTCCAGCAAGGCGATGAGCATTATGAACAGTTTTGTGAATGATGTATTTGAGCGGATTGCTGCTGAAGCCTCACGCCTAGCTCATTACAACAAGAGATCGACCATCACATCTCGGGAGATCCAAACTGCTGTCAGACTATTGTTGCCTGGTGAATTAGCGAAGCACGCTGTTTCTGAAGGCACCAAAGCAGTTACGAAATACACCAGTTCGAAGTAATTGCTGCGACATATTCCAATCGGCCCTTTTAAGGGCCAACAATTTTTATTACGTGAACCAACCTCTTTTCTAACATGTTCTTATTTTTATCCCATGATTGTAATATGAATGGAACTTCTTTTACATGACTTCACATAATTATATTTAACTTTACAATTAATAAAAGCAGTCGTAGCAGTTGTCATAACATTAAAAAAATTATCAGTATGTGGTAATATGAATTACCAAGTAAAGAAAATGCAGACCATTGAAGTAAAGGAATAAGTTTGAAACAAAACAGTCTTAATCTAACAAAATGTAACATAATTAGGGATGTTCGATTCACCGGAAAGAATCGATTCTAAATCTGAATGAGAGAATCGATTCCTTTAAAAAATCGAAACCAAAAAATCGGTTTGAAAAAAATCGACTTTTTTTGTTTCATTTTTGTATTATGTATTATGTATTTTGTATTATTGATTATTATTGTAAAGAATCGATTTTTTATTTTTTTATATTTCGTGCTCTTACACCAAAAGCAGGCGCTCCGCATTGTTTATATTTTAATCACTATTCTTATACTCTTTTAGGAGTGAATGTGTTTTTATGGATCAGAAAAATCGATTGTTCTAAAAATTCGAAACCAAAAAGTCGATATAAAAAGTGAGAGTTATTTCCATAGAGGGCAAAAAATCGATCTTAGATTCTTACATGAAAGGATCGATTCTGAGGAAAATCGAATATCAAAGAATCGATTCAAAAGATCAATTATTTTACCAAAAGAATCGATTTTCTAAAGAATTGAATGAGAATCGAACATCTCTAGTACATGTTCCCATACATACTAGTATGTATTCTATGCACTCCAACTTATAGGTACTTACGTATGTACAGTCGTTCATGTACAAGAAATTTGAAAACAAGTTGAATTTGATTCGAGCACGTGCGCGCTAAAATGTGTGCACATGCATGAAAAATATACACGATTCGAACTTGCATGCGAATAGTATTTGGGAGTTTTACGAACCAGATTTCTCGTACCGTGTATCGGCCATAATATCTCCAAATCGGACGTGTCTCAACTTAAACGTTCATTGCCGTTTGATCTCCAAATAAATAGAAAATTTGGCAGTCTCTCGGTCCGCTGCGTTTGGCCATTTCTCGATTATCGCGGTCTTCCTGTTTTGTGTTGTACATATGTGCCATTCACTGTGTCAACTAGAATGTTTTCCTTTTCCGAAAAATACCGGATTTTGATCTAATAATCTCTACGGATATGTAAGTAGAATCTACTGCATGAGACACTGATTTACACTGGCTACTCACAAAAAGGTGCACCTGTATCATCAGTTAATTTATTATAAATTTAACCCTTTCAGTTATTAGAACGTGGGCAACACGCCGACAAGTGTGCACATTGCACGTCGGTAGTTTTCGGTGTTCGCACTTACGTTTTTCAACGCCACCTTGGCATACTGTTGTATGTATACCTGATGTCACGAGAGTCCATAACTGCGAAAAGACCAGTTTTCGTTCTTTTCTGCGCATTGTCGCTCTGATTGGCGATACTTCCAGCGGAAGTGGAAAGCGATTGGCGGATCGCTTTCCCCCATCATCGCTGCGTTCCCCCGCCATCTTCCAACCTGCGCGCTTAGTTATGGACTCTCGTGACATCAAGTATAGGTACACTTTATTACGTGCGTTCGTAATATACTTTTGGGTAGATACTCTAGAGATACTCTACAAGTGCAGTAGTATCTTTTTGCCGACTATAGTCGACGCTCGTAACGAAAGGGTTAAAAATAAAAATTCCAAATTATTTGTTATTATACAGAGTGTTCAACAACAGATGGGACAAGTTTTAAGAAATGTTTTTGGGCTTCAAAATAAGACGCAAATCAAGCATGATAAAATAACGGTCGAAGCTTTGTTTCTTATTGTTAGCTATTAACGTAAAAAGATTCGTGTGAAAAGCGCCTAAAACCGGCAATTCGCATAGCACCGACGATTGAACGTCGTGCCAGTAGGGGCCTGTACAGTCACAGCCAACCGTAATTGAATACTAGAAGTTTACCACGTGCTATTCTGTTTCTCGGTGCTGCAGGATTTAGCTAAACTTCCGAAAACCTGGGAAATCGTATTTGGTTGAAACTTTGTAAATAGCTTCATTTTACATGAAAATAATATTTGCGAGAAAGTTTTTTTGGCGACTAGAAAAATAAGATCCAAGAAGCTTGCCGCCCCTTACGGCGCACGGTGGGGTATTTTAGTCCCCCGCGGTAAAAAACATTTTCTAACTGAAATTATATATTTATCCCAATTTTTTTTATTTATTACGTTAAACTACAGTTTATTTTCTATCGATGTATGTAAATAGTTTTTCAATTTTCGAATTCACGAAAATCTACTTTTGATCGCCGAAAGCCGTTTTGTCCCACTGTGCGCTGTACACATTGCTGACGTGAGGCGATTTTCTCTCGAATCTTTTAATGTTAATAATTGAAAAACAAAGCCGTGAACACTATTTCGTCATTTTTGATTTTCATCTTATTTTGATCTCCAGAATCATCTCCGAAAATTTGTCCAACCAGTTGTCGAACACCTTGTATACATAACGACGGATTATTTAACATTATTTAACACATTTCTCCGAAGATTAACTCTACATTCTTTATCATTACTGCTTTTAGATTGTAGAGGTGACGTCTTAATTGAATAATATTTTACGAATTTCCGAAAATGATTGGTTAACCCCAGGAAACCTCGTAATTTTGTAAGACAAGTTGGCTAAAAATATTCTAATATCGCCTGTAAATAACTCTTACATACAGGGATACCTTAGCTCATTATTAAAAATCCCAGATATTCGATTTCTTTTTGCAAAATTAAGCTAAATTCAATTCTATACCGTGACATTTTAAATGTGTTTCTACCTCTTTTAATGTACCTAAACTTTTTTGAACGGTAACCGAAGGGATTAAAATGCGATCTATAGTAAACATCTAAAAGAAATGTCTATTAATACGTGTTAAACAATGCTATCATTTTCAGTGTGAGTGATTATTTTCTTCCAGTCTCAAAGTATGGCGTTGAAGGAGAATATTTCTAAATCTACAAATAATACATATCAATGTATGTACATATTTATACTCGTAACCTCATTAGATTGTTACTGTAGTCATAAACTTTATGCTTCATTGATTTATTTTTTATTCAACAGCACATAATAAAATAAATAATAAAATAAATTACAACAAAGTTTATTACAATAATGAATAAAATTTTAATGTACGAAAATATACATGTATATGGTAAAAGTACTTGTCATAAGAAGGCGTAATCTTTAAATAGTTGTTGGCGTGTTTTACAAATACCATAATCTCGCATCTTACATAGTAACGCGCTCCATCTAGAAGAATCTAGTTTATTGGTGTGCACTAATTGTGAGTACTTCCGTGTGCCTCTTCTCCTTTATGTCTCTTTCGTTGACTGGTGTATGTCGAACAGGCCTTCGTCTTCGTCTGGAATCAAATGGCACGTGGTTATTGTTGAATATTATGCGCAATTTGGGCTTTATTAATTAAGAGAAAGTATGGAAGAGAAAAACGTTTTACCACTTGCTCATTGGTATAATTAGGACTTCTTTTTGTGGAGTGAATCGAGTAACGTAGAAATTAACTTTTAATATTTTGAAATTTTTTAATTTCATAAATTTGAAATTTTAGAATTATAAGACATTTAAATTGTGTTCATTCCACGTTATGAAGGTAGGCATACTTTTTTTAAGTACAAGTTGAAGATCGTAGATTCTAAGTTCCCCCAGGACCAAAGGCAAATGGCGGAATGCTACTCCTCCTACACTAACCTATGGACATTTATGGATATCTGAGTAGTACGTGAAAATGTCTCACCTGATCAAGATGCAACTTCGCATAATCAGATATGTGCAAGATACCATGCTCAGCCGACGCGACATGCAAACTGGCGCCGCAAGCTTGGGGATTTATTCTGACAGTGTGCAATTCTGTGATCTGAGTACTACAAGCTGCCGCAGGATCACCGCTCGATGCTAAATATCCTTTCCAGAATTCATTTCCTATGAGAAGAATAATAATGAGAATTTTAGAATTAGTGCATTTCCAATAGACATAGCGTTAACACATTGATTGCCATACAAATTTTACAATATTTTATTATTTCTATTGTTAATCATTTTGGATGAAGTTCCGAATACGACCGGTCGCCGATTAAGATGAAATTTTCAGGAGGAGGGGGGGAGGGAGGAGGGGACCCCAAATATAAAGTAGTATCTTCGGCTTCCAATTAGTTTCCAAGATATTAATTAAAAACTTTCGTACAATACAAAGAATTTTTCCTATACAGACGTAACTAACAATCGTCTTCGTTGTAGTAAGCTGACATCGTCAAGTGTCGAACAGTCGTTGACACAGCGGTGGTTCCAACCTGACTATCTATTGGGTGTTCTATTAAAAACTTTGGAGATACGACGCGTGTTGCAGCGTTGTCGGCCGCCTTCCGACGGCCGGAAATTTGTCTGACCTAACCTAACCTACGTATAAATCAAATGTGTTTAATTCCTTGAGAATTAGTAATAAAATATAAAACATACGTAATGTAACTAAAAGAATGGATTTTACATGGAACCCCCTATAGAAACAGAAGCCGATATCACTATGGTGTGAACGGCTGTTCGACCCTTGACGATGACGGTTGCTACAGCGAAGACGGTAGTGTTAGTTGCGTCTGTATAGGAAAAATTCTATGTATTGTACGAAAGTTGTATCGTAGCTATGATGGCAGCTGGGCATTTAATACAGGGTGATCCTCTCGCTACCCTACCCAAAGGAAGTGCCGCCACAATATAATGTAGAAGTCGACATCCCATTTCTGTCATCGTTTACTTGACCAAGGTGGCCCCTGTAGCGAAGACGACTGTGTGCGTAAAAATGTGTTAAGAAAATATTCTGTTATCCACAGTGCTTAAATGGGACTTTTCTGCTCATTACACACATTTTCACGCACACAGCCGTCTTCGCTGCAGGGGTCAAGTAAGTGATGACAGAAATGGGATGTCGACTTCTACATTCTATTGTGGCGGCACTTCCTTTGGGTAGCGTAGCGAGAGGATCACCCTGTATAGCCTGACCTAACCTAATATACTCTACCTAATCAGTGAATTAAGTTAGGTTAGGGCAAAGTGATATTCTGGTCGCCTAACGGCGACCAGACACATACTGAAATTCAAAATCATGAAAATTAGTTACATTTAATTACACGGATGGCCAGAATTCAATGTGTTAGTTTCAACAGTTTTTCGAAAATATCTCGAAAACTAAGGCCGAGCGGGGGTTATATGTATAGGAAAAAGTTGTTCATAATGTTGATTTCTACAACATATTTAAAAATCATCGAAATCGGAGGTGCCGTCAATCATCGAAATGGTAATTAATGAAGATATTAATTGACAACCTGGTAGCGTATTTCCATCCCAAGCATATGTTACTACGAGAAGCTTCTTAGCATCCGTTGCTTTTGACAATTTGCTGTGAGGTTCCCTCTTAGCAAAGTGAATCCTTATATCTGGAAAGATCGATGTTAGATTGTTTGTGGTATGCGTTTACGTTGATAGGACGCAAATACAACGGTATTTGCTACCATACTTCCGAGGTAGTCGCCGTTTCCTGCATCACCACATTTCGTTTCATGGAAATACGAGAACATTATGTCGGATATATATCTGAGTTTCTTGTTCATCTTTTTTATGGCGATTTCGAACGTCTTTAGAAAGTATTTTTCTTGATCTGGGTGTATTTTCCACACACCTGAAAATTTATTTATGAATTTTTTAACACGCGACACGAAATGAACTATTAGATCGTTGCGTGCGAAATGGTTGACTTTGAAACGTAGAAAATCGGTCATGTTTACATGACATAAAAGTATCGCAAAATAGTACTTATGATAGATCAGTGGAAAATGATTGCATAAGTCCATCCAATCAATTTAGAGTATTACCAATATGTTTTACCAGTATGTAAAATTAATAGATTCATTGTTGGTGTTAATTAAAAATTAATCATTTTGTGTTAAAATTATTTATCAATTTCATATGCAACAACTCAATTTTTCAATTTAGTACATGTATTTACCGTTTGTTACTTAAAATATGATTAAATAAATGCACTTACTAACCAAGACCAAAGCCTACAACGTGCAAAAATGCTTTCATGTTCTGTTTTTCAGCTCGATTATTTGTTTCGAAAAGTATAATCTCCACCGTTACTAGAGTCCTTTTCATGTAATTCTCGATGTCAAAAATACTCAGATTGGCCACAGAAAGGTATCTTTTATTGTCTTTCGATATAATCCGCTTGAAAGTTTCCTCATAGAGTGGATGATACTTTTCACCGTAAAAATTTGCCCATGTAACCCTCAAATCATGCACCTTTTCCGAATTTATCGTTGCTGAGGGTCCATACCTATTGTATAAACACATTAAAATATTTTTAATACTTTCAAATTAAAATAAAATTTCATAATACCTATTACATGTACGAGACCTTATTACAAAGATAAAAAGAAAGAAACTTAGAACTAAATTAAAGAATTTGTTATGAAGATGATGAAAGTAATTTACCCATTATCCACAGTGTTTTGTGAAGGAGTAATAAGTATGTCTTGGCATTCCATTACGTCTGGTCGTACAAGCCTACAAACAATATTGATAACGATAAAATAAAAGTTTTCTCGTTGTGAAAATAAAAACGTGTTTTGTATTCGATTGCTTTTCTAATAAGTGTTAAATGAACATAGAAAACCTTGATCCCACGACACCTATAATCACTCCTCTCGGCTCTATAGAGTCAGGATCGGTGGTCAAGACGCCTTTATTCTTTCGAGAGCCGTTATTTATGAATTCAGTGTGAGAAGACATCGTCATCATTGCGGATAGTTTAATTTCATCGTAGGACAAACATTTCGATAGCACCTGTTTTCAATATTATTAACATTACGATATATTCTAATTTATACAGTTTTAAGAAATACTAACCAAAGGGTCTTTTTCATGGTCCGTGCCAACGTTCTCCCACTTCCCTACGCCTGTCTTACCATCGATCAATTTCCATCGATCCTTCGCTCCGAAGAAATACACGGCTCGTTTATCTAATAGCCTCTGAATGAACTCTACTAATCCCATATCCTGATACATCGCTCTCTCTATAATACTTCCATACTTTCGTTTGTGTTTTAACCATCGAGCAAGTAATGGTAACATCGCTTCATGTATTAAGGGATAAACGGAATTCGCGTTCATCTATAAATTGTAAATTAAAAAATGGACCTCTACATTTTTATTATTATTTACTATATTATACATTGATTCAACTATGTAGGGACTAGAGTGAATTAACCCCCTCGCCTTTTTTAAGTTCTAAAATTTCAAAATACAAACATCTGAAAATTAGAAAATTCTATTATGCAGCTGTAATTTTCCATTAGTGTTAGTATACTCAATCACCTTATCTACCGATGTAATCTAAGCTTAAATCTAGTGTAAATTAGATAATAAAGATAATAAAGACACTAACCTCAAGGATATCCGTGCTAACTCCTCTATTTCTCAAAGCGGAACATCTCATCGTGTCAATTGGAAATTTGAGAGGAAAAGCTTCGCTTTGTTTGATGATTTGTGGCAGGCTCGTGGGTGTCGGTATCGACACGTCGATGCATTTCCGCAGCATTTCTTTAGTATCGTCATCAAAAGGTACACCGTTTGGAGCTCCCAACGATATTTCCGATGGTTCTCTGAATAGTGCCTCCTGACGTGTTTCTTCCATTCTGTTCGGAAATCACTCACTTATCTTATGCAATATCGAAAATAACAAAAAAATGTTATTTGTTAAATTTTTGCTCTAGTCAGGATTAATTAGACAAATATTTTGGTAAATGTTTATAAAAGCGGAACTAGACCTAATGACCTTGATCATTAAAATATGTTGCCAAGATCAATATGTATTCCGAACAACTTTTCTTGATAGATGTACCACTCCCTCGACTTTAGCTTACCAAATATTTGTAAAAGACTTCAGTTGAATTAACATTACGATTGCACTTTATTAATCATGACGAATAATGACTAATAATCATGACTAGCTACATCCTTAGACAAAAAATAAAATGCCATTTTCGCTAATTTTTGTTACATCCCCGGTCATCGACCGTATTTTCGCCTTTCGCCACTCCAAAAAGGCCTCGCTCAGGAATCCGCAGAGCATCAGCGTTTTCGCGCCCGGCAACGCCCGCGACACGAAGACAAGGAACTCGCGGAACGCGATGACGAAAACCCTATGCTGGCAGGTTTTCGCAAGCCACGGGTGTGACCCCTTTTGGGGAATATAAATTAGCGACACGAAGCAGACCACACGCGCTTAGTTCCCTGACTACGTGAAGTAGAGACGAAGTGCTGTCCGCAGTAAACCCGCATCTTAAAGCCGAGTATCCACCTGTATCAAACGCCCGTATCGTATCACCGTTCCGAACCCTTTTGAATAGGCAGACGTTGCCTCGTTGCATGCCACGGCGTGCTACGGCTCGGACAATATTTCTTCGTTTCTTGATAGAAACGGTTCGGCAATAGGACTGGGCCACTACAGGCGAGGAGTTTCGTTTTGCTGCGTGCCGTTCCAAAGGAACGGAGGCAACGGACCCATCCGAAAAATTTGTCGATTCTTTGCCGTTGCATCGAAGGAAAGGTTTATGCGTTTGCACTTGACATAGCGTTTCATGCCGTCACTTGGGTTTCAATTTATTTGAAATCTTGCAGTATTATTGGATTCATTTCAAAATCGATGAAATTATTTATGAACTTAATCTAATTTAATTTAGACAAATTTTATCGTCTAAATATATTTAAACAGATCAATTATCTTCGGTGATACGCTGTACATAAAAGAGCAATGTTAATAAGAACCTCTGTGATTATTGAAAAAGGACAATGTTAATTATCCAGAGATTTTTCCGTTGCCGAATATCGAAAGTTCTATTGGGCTGTGATACGGAGGTGAAGGAACGGGCCGATCCGAAAATTGTCGGTTTCTTGCTGTTCAAAGGATAGGTTCGGAGACCACTTGAAACGTAAAAACAACATACCCAGGCGAAGGCCCGAAATGCTATGTCAAGTGGAAACATGACACTTGAGGCTCGAGATAATATGATCTGAGATCGGATATATCAGTGAGATAAAACTAATGCAACGACTTATTTTATTTTATTTTTTTTATTTTTTTGTTACTTATACGTGTAGGTTAGGTTAGGTTAGGTTAGATTAGATTATATTAATACTCCGGCCAGCGCGGCCGACCACGCGAGTCAAATGTTATAATTTGATTTTTCAGCTCACCCGTTGTATGATTACGAGTCGGACCACACGCTGTTGCTTACAGAAACGATAGGCAAGAGAGCCGGCACACACATGGCCACGGGCGCATACATATAGGCAGAATTCGCTGTAGTAGTAACAATATTCTTTCGCGAATATCTTGCAAACTAATCGAGTCCAACATATAGCTTAGAGGAAGAAAGTTGCTTAAAATGACGAATTTCACAACATATTTAAAAATCATCAAAATCGGAGAGGGAGTAGCTCATCTACAAATTCACCCGTTCTTTTTATGGAATTGTAATCGTTCAAGTTTGTTTAAAAAAAAGGTGGAAAGATTTTTATCCATCTAGGCAGGCATTATTATGCCTATGAAGAATGTAAAGTTAATGTATTTTAAAAATTCGCAGTAACACCTACACTTATCTATTCTAGTAACTATTCCAGTACAATCCTTAACAGAAACACTGACTTATAAAGAAAAATACGCCACTTCTGTCACAGGTTCGATTACAACTGCTGATGCGTCAGCCTTACAAAAATATGTCATGTAGTGGCACGTGGGATAAACTTTTACCCCTACTATGGCTTACTATTGGGATTTTCCATCTTTATCGTGTTCAGATAACATATCTCTGTTTTTGTCCGTATGCGCAGCCGCGTTGGTACCTACTTTCCGGCAACTATTCACTGTGGCGCATTCTATGCAAAATCGGACGTTTCGGAGCACCATGTCGGATTTTGCTCAAATTGAGATATAGGTATAAACGTATCTCGAAGGATTTTAAACAATTTTTCAAATTGTTGATTTTACAGCTGTTTGCAAATATATGTAGTACTTGCATTTTTTCAATAAATTATAACTGCAGGACTAACAAACTGATAGAAATGAGCGTTTAGGTATTTAAAGTGGAAACATGTAAGTACCTAATAAAAATTATTTCAGTTAAAAAAAAGTTATTTTTACCGCTTACTTTACAATTGTTTTAAACAAATGCAATTTTGTAATAGTAGGGGAATATTGAAAAATCTGATAAAAAAAAGGGACAATGTAGTCCTATTTATCCCCTTTACGGATCAATTAATTTTAAAAATCCTTCGAGATACGATTATATATGACTAAAAGAACTGCAATACATATATCTAAAGAGCAAAATCTGACATGGTGCTCCGAAAGGTGTCCGATTTCGCATGGAATGCCCTCTGTACTTATTGATTCGAATCTCGAGCAATCTCTGAACGCAGGAGCACAATCAAGTTCGTATCCCGAGGCACCGACGAGATACTGTTAAAGACTGCCAACCCCTGTGTTAAAGTTCGGCACGCCAAGTGGGCCCAGTGGGGTACGATCGGTAAATAGGAATGATGGATAATGTAGAATAGTGATATTACCCATTGTACCGCCGAAAAAAACTGTTATACCACCAACGAGATGATTTAGCTTTGCCACAGTACAATAATCATCTCGTCGGTGCTGCTTGGAAAACAATTATATTTTACCTTATAATTGGATTACATTCTTATTGTAATAATCGATACTACATAAATATATGAAAAATAAGACTATTTGGTACGTAACATTCTGAAAAAAATAGAAGAATTGAATAAAAAATAATTCGAAAATTACTGTTATATTTATAAAATGATTCTTAAACCAAAAATATCATTTAACTGTTAACAGAGACTCGTCTCTTAGCAGACTGTTAACAGGTGGGCATTCTTACCTTTTTCACAGGTAGCGGAAGTAGACATTTTTAACAGAGAATGACATACTAGTATTCCCTTATTCTGCCATGTGGTGAACAGAGTCGAACGTCCCAAACGTTTAAAAGCTTGCGTCCTTGCATACCTGCGCTGACACTGGCGCACTCAAGAGGGGCTAAGGGGCTCTAGCATCCCTCAAAGAAAAAGGAGGGAGAGCAACAGAAAATTTTCCAAAATCTGTTCCTAATTAAAGTAGTGTTACTGTTTATGTAACATATTAATAACACTGTTTTTTGTATTAAAAATATTTTTATTCGTTCAACTTAACTCCCTCCAAGAATAAATCGTGAGTGCGTCATTGTCCGCACATACCCCATCATGGCCCATCATTGACTGTCCTTTCTTTTTCAAAGTTTTATGGCAAGACTTTATAACAGAAAACAGACCCCGAATATTCTGAAAGGTCGCAGACTGTGTCAAGCAATGGACAAATTTGTATATACTATTGTGGTAATTTTAGATATTTATTTCTTCGTGGAATACAAATCTAACACTGAAAATACCGCGACTTAGTTACTTTTACAATTTTTGCTATCAATCGCACCGTGTGTTGCTCGACTCACAATCAAATATGGAATAAAGTTAAAAATAAAAAAGTTTTATCGTGGAATTACTATTAGTCACACCGATATTACGGTTCGGATCATACATATTATGTATGTACACGGCTTCCTGGTCAAGCGTCTCGGTTCGCCTAGGAGGGTCCCCCCAAGTGGAGAGGATAGCGATGCTGCACTTATACAGCCAATCTTTTGTTGCACTTTTCCAGCTTTTACTTACTATTAAATAAAAGATTTTATTGAAATACATTTTTCTTCTTTTCGACACCTGTTACTTATTATATTATTATGATTATTATGATTATTACATTATTATGATTATTACATTATTATTATTATTGATTATATCCTACAGAACCTATGTAATATTTTTTATTCATTTTTATTTCTAAATGATTTCTAAATGAAATTAGAAGAAAATAATTGTTTTTCTAATTTTTTTTTCTATTCATTATTTTTTCTAAATGAATATTCTTTTACCTTAAACACACATACCCTAAACTTAGAACTAGGGTTCGTCATTTATTAAAAAAATAATTTCCAATGAACTAAAGAGGGTTATTAAGTTACCTCCTTTAAAATATTTTACGTCTTAAAAAGTATCTCCGAAAGGTTTGTAAAACGAACTTAACTCGAATCACCGAAGAAATAATAATAGCATCGACCAGATAAAATATCATCTCATCTCTCATGATACAGTTCAGCACCGAACCTCGTCGTTGGTAAACTCACTGATTCTGGTTCTGTTTCTTACTGCGGCCGCAATATATTATAGAGGGCGTAAGAAAACGTCGAATTTTTTCGCCGCCGCGAACTCCCATAAGGATAGCAGTCTTTAACAGTATCTCGTCGGTGCCCGAGGGAACAATTTGGCCAATTTCTAATGTACCAACACAGGATAAGTTCAATGATTCTTTAAGGGGGTAGACACGGCACCACCGACGAGTACAGTATCTCGTCGGTGTCATATGTTATTCCTCATTTTTCTCTTAGTTATCAACGGTTGCAAACAGTTGAGCACCAACTTTATCATGGTGACTTGCGCAGCGTCGCATACGGTGCGATTCAAATCCCGGATTTTTAGAGAATTTTAATTTTTATAATTACAATTTTAGTCATAATTTGATCATAGTATTGTTGACAAACCAGTTATAATGGAACCGTCAACAAGTGAATCACTATCATAGAAAAATCAACCGGGAAAGGTAAGAAACTGAAATAAATTTTGATTTCATATTTTTAATCATTTCCTTACTGTCATATTTTAATAAGATTTTAATGAAAAAATTTGATTTTCAGATTGCTGAATCTGTTTCAAAGCAAATCATAATCAACTTCTATATAAAGAAAAAGAATTCCAATATTCGAATGCAGCATATAAAGAGTTACGAACGATGGTTTGAAAAACCAGCGTAATTTGTTCGTTGACCATTTTGGCTACCCTGTCAGAGCTGGTTTCATGGATAAGTTCACCGACAAACAAATATTAAAAGTTGGGGGCACGTCCATGAGTTTTGGCGCATATTAAACGTTACGTCAAAAGTAATAATACATTGCATATTGGACATGGAGAATTTATCGCGGAAAGTTGTGGACAATATCAGCCCGGCTATGTGGAGTAATTTTGTCCGGCATAAAGTCATGGAAACAATAAAGACTGTTAGACATGGATATCATTATAGAAAAGAAACGGAAAATACCACTACTGATCTTTCAACTTATAATATTTCCTACTTATTCCTTATGTTTTAGGTATATATTTACAGAAGGGGAATCGCACTCAATGGTCCATTACCATAAACATAAATCAAACATCAACCTTATAATATTACACACTGTTTTTATATCTAATAGTTATAAATAACAATGTTAATAAACGATGTTTTCCAGTTTGGTCAGCAAGTTCTTCGGAGGGCGTTGTCCTCAAATCCTATTCGTCCTAAGAATAAACTTGCTATGTTTGGACATGACTGCTCTGTGCACCATGCATTTGTATAATTCGTATCATCATGAAATGCGTCCGTAATGAAATGTTCTGTTATAGTACTTACGATTAATGAATATAAGGAGGCATAGCGTAAACTCTGATATGCCTGTGATATTTTCAGAACTTTTCTGTTAATTATTAATATTTACGTGATTTGTACGCAAGTCACGGAGGTAATAATAGATCAGGCATTACACAAATAAATAATAATAAATAAATAAATATTAATATTTTGTTTCAAAGATACAATACTAAATTTTAACGAAATACTCTTCTGGCTTGATGATAGTTCTTGTTAGTTCGTGGTTTGGTCTCTAGTTACTTGTTTAATATTGTTTATATTTATATCAAGTTATTATTTCATATTGTATTTATACGAGGATAATACACAATGATATAAGTATATTACTGACGATTCAATACTAATAAACGATGTAAGAAAACGTGTTGATACCCAAAAATAAAAACTTGGTTCGACAATAGTTATTAGTTTTATTATAGTTACGTACACTGAGTCCCATCGAAGTTGTCGCAGTGAAGTTGGCTACACATTCACTAACACATTCACACCGCGTCGTCGGCACCTCGCCCATTGGCTCATCGACGCGGCGTGAATGGTTAGTGCGCCAACTTCACTGCGACTGCTTCGATGGAACTCATTGTCAGTTGTAGGTACCTACATAGCTGGGACAAAGAAAAATTGTATTTTTCCTATTTACGTATCTTTCCACATCTTTTGTTTTTTCTTAAGTAGTGTACCAAGAGATGCAGACTTCAGCACAGAAACTATAAGAATTTAATGATTTTTTATAAGAATAGCATTAGGGTTTGTAAGAAAATTACGAGAATGCGAGGGATAGGATCGTATTGCAAAATGTGGGCGTATTAAATCAACACTGGAACTCGGATTTTATTCTAATACTTGTACTTTAGTATTAATCAGCGATATGGACACGTCCACGATCAAGATAAGAGTGTCCTGTAGACAAAACGTTAGCCGTGAGGACGCCTACGTCACCATGGCTCTTTTCCTACCGAGTTTATGACGCTTTGTCCTTGCGTGGAAAACCCGTGACGTAGTAACCGTGAAATACCGTTGCCGAGGTGCGCACGGTCCGCTCTAACAGTTGTATTTTTAAAATTTCTAACAGGTCTTTATATAAAATAACGTAAAAAGTAAGTCTTGTTAAAGTGTCATTTTTCCAGCCTGTGCCCTTAAAGTTGTATTTATCTTCTGGGAAATATGTAGTACATAAAGAAGGAATACGAAGAAGAATGCAGATAATTTTCATATATAAAACAAAATTACACTAATTTTAACTGGCTAATCGTTTTATTGCTTTTTACTCCAATATACAGTATATATGTGTTTTTTGTAACTAAATTGGATCTGACAACTTCCTGCTAGAAATAAATGAAAAAATATTACGGAATAAATAGAGTTTACGCTATAATGAATAGTAATTATAATTAGATGTACATTCGCGATCAAATCAAGTTTCTCTAGAGAAAATGGCGACATAGAGAAGCATGAATTTTCAAAACCTTGGTTTTGATAATATTAATATAACCCTCCGACTACTGCGATTTCTCTCTGTGCCGGAGTCACTTTTGACTCACACCGATATTTCACTAGTCATGTTAGTGGTCGCTCGAGAATGCTCGAGAACCCCACCGACCTATTCCAAACAAACGATCGCCCGAGGTCGAAGATTTCATCAATATAATATTACAAAATGATTAATTTTATATCACGTTAGGATTTTCGTTGTGGATCACGGGAAAATGAAAATCTTCTGAATTGTGAGAAAAATTATTGTGATTCTATTTGGTTATGGTACTGAGAAGTTTGCGTCGTTTGCTTCTGTATTGTATGTTTTACGAGGGGAACTACGTAATAGTTATTTAAAAGGAGACAAATTGTCATTAAAAAGAAAAAAGAAAAAAAATGTTGGAAACCATGGACTTAAACTGTGGACAGTTAGATTGCGATTCAAGCGTTTTGCCGCAAAGCTAACCGTTTATATGTATTAGTTTGTCATGCTTCTCAATGTAAGTAGTAACTAACCTTAATTGTTAACATCTTTTAAACAATTAGCCGTCTGGGGTAAACTTTACCTCAGGGGCCCAAAAATTATGGCCTTTTTTTCTATCTTCTTGAAGTATTTAACGAGTAGAATCTAAAAATCCTAGTTTTAAGGCGCGAAATCCATCGGTTCAGAAGTTATACTTGTCGACCACCAGTTGGACTCTATTCGTTGGGTGTGAGTACTATCAGTTCCTATAAAATCCGAGGGGATATTGTTTATAAAAAAACAACTAACCTTAGGTACACCGGGTTTAGGCCGCCACTTATGTACATAATTCTGTTTTACCGACGGCGACTCCACTCATTGGACGACACCAGGCTACAAGTCAATATGGCGTCGAAGTAACATGTAAAATACGCGAAAAACGTTCAGTTTTACACACGCATTACTTCTGAAACTAGGATTTTTAGATTCTACTCGTTAAATACTTCAAGAAGATAAAAAAAAGGAGGCCATAATTTTTGGGCCCCTGAAGAAAAGTTCAGCCGCTGTCTGCCCCCAAAAGGGGGTACAGGCGTGTTCAGGGTGACGAACTCTACAAGGTGGCAAAGTTTCATTAATAAGTGAGCATAACACTTGGGTAGTTCCCCTCGTTATGAATGCTGGGGACACGTGATTAGTATTGGTGAAAGTACATCTGGAAGAAATAGGCCGATGCAGAAAGTCAGCGAAAAATTATTATCAATAGTCTACTGTACTCATTTCCGTGAAGAGTGACCACTACTTTCGATTTTAGCGCCACAAACAACCCTCGAAATCTCATTATTTAGTGAAAAATTTTGTACTTGGGATACTATAGTTTGTCTCGCGTTCCATTCAAAACCATGACAATTTACAAACAAATACTTTATTCGAAGCATAATACAAATATTTTACGATTCTAATTGTATGTAAATGCATTAACGTAAGTGTGAAGTATGGAAAGGTATTTTTTATTTATTTTGTCATACAATGCTTCTGATCCTTAAATTATAAAAATTATGCTAAATACACCAAAGAATTTGTTTTGTTACATAATATTCATTAAGAGATCGACTTAAAACTATGTATTTATAAGTAGGTACAAAAACCGAATATATACATGTTATGAATAATAATAATAATAGTACATAAGTTCAGAAAAGGATAAGAAGAAATTGATTATTGTTTAAATTAAATCATATCTAATATCCACTCAAACAGATGTTTCATTTAATAAATAATAAACGTATTATTTGCAAGCAGGTCTAACTATGCCTTTACATTAATTTGTTTGCATTGTTAAAAATATTGCTTATTTTCAATCTTTTTTAGTTTTCGTTTACCTTTGTACAATTATTGCGACGTACAACCTTCGGAGAAAGGATGGTACCAATGATCTCAATCGAAGAAAATATTAGATCAAATTAATGTGATCATATTGTAAAATTTATTTGTATATATTTGCAAATAAATTTTTATCTTATTGAATATTTTAATTTTTAATAATCCAGAGTAAAATTTATATTTATTACAGGATTTAATGACTATACTTCTTCTTCTATACAATAATGCGTACATTTTGTTTCTTGAATTATTACATAATTATTACAGTGTTGTACAAGGCTCACGATTAACCCGAGAACGACATATCATAGAGAGAACCACAATTTTAAGGTAATTTTGTATTTTACATTATTTTCATTTGTATAAATTTACTGTTCTTTTAAGAATTGTTCTAATATATGAAATTCTTTCGTTTAAAAATTATACATTTAACTTTAAGTTGATATCCTTGTATATATTTTGTAAGTATGAGACATAATTGGCCCAGACTTCTTGGATTTCGTATAACACAAGATCCACCAATCGAAGCTTAATAAATTAATAATATTGCAGTAGGAGAAGGAAGGGTAATGATGATTAGTGGATAAATTTTAACAATATAAAAAAATATTGAAAAGTCTTCATTAGTTTTATAATCATTACAGTGTTTGCTGAAATGTGAGGTAACGTCACCTTTTGCTTTTGTTCAAATTTTGATATGGTTTCGATTCATCATTCAATCGAAGGTAAATTCAAAATGTATAAAGTACGAAGTTTTATTTTCTACAATACAGGGTGGGTCAAAAGGTCGCATAGTTCGTTTCTAGAAATTATTGCGTTCTTTTATTTTTCATAAATAAAGTTAAACTTAAAAGTTTAACCAAACCATATCACTGTGCGAAAATTATGGAAATTTACGTGATAATGAATAATGAAACTCATTTTCACCTAAAAGGTTTTATTAAAATATAAAATTCAAGATTAAAGTAATTTTGTTGCCAGGCATTAATCAAACTATTTTTCAACCTTTTGAACTAGGTAAAACATAATCTCACTGAAGAAAGAACAAGCTTTCATTTAATGTCTTAAGAAAATGAACTGTCGAATTGAAGTCATTGAATTGATACAATTTCTTTTTTTATCTAATTAGAAAAACGTATTTGAAATAATTTCTTTGTTTTTCTATTTATTTTTTGAAAGAAATCAGAGAGTAACTTTTGATCTACCCTGTACAATGTAAGTACATATATCTTATACGCTTGATAAGATAATCTCTAAATGGAATCATTCACAACAAGGTAGTAGCCATCACCAAAAGAAGTGATCGATATTACGCCAATTTTTTCTTGTATTTAATTTATTCAGTAAATATTATTTACGAAATAATAATAAAAAGAGAAATACAGAGTATATACAGATTTGATCTTTGTACAAATAACGTCTACAAATTTCTGGAACATATTCGTAAATTAGTTTTTCTTATCTTTTATAATTCTTTGAATAATATCGTCATTTTCCTACCTTCCCCTCTATACATAATGTGTATCGTTTGTTTCACATCAGTACATGTTTCAAAATGTTCCCTATTTTGAATTGGTACCTAACAGAATGGATGTCTTGTTGAATATAAAACACATTTGTCATGCACATTGCAATAGCTTTTGTGTTGTATATCTATTGCATTCTTGCAGTAAATGACCATGATAAGAGAATATATATACCGTAGCCAAATAACGGATAATTTACGTACAAGAATAAAATACCCGTACTATTCAAGTCTGATTTCCTTACAATTTAAGGCTTACATGATCTTGAAATAGGTAATTTTTTTTATTCATTCATTTTAACGTAATTTTTAATAGAACATTTTCTTTTGATAGAACAGCTAAGAAATCCATGATACTGATATACATATGTACATGTTACTGAATATACAGTAAGTATCTTACCACTCCATTATAGGCATCTAATATTTTGTATAAATTTTATTTATATTTTAGATATACAGGGTGTCTCAGAACTCGCGTAACACCCGGAAATGGGGGATTGCTGAGGTGATTCTGAACAACATTTTCCTTTACCAAAATGTTGGTTGAATTTTCGTTTTTCAGTTATTAACAGAAAACACTGGCCAATCAGTGTTTGGCGCTTAACACTAGCGCTCAACCACGAGAGCGTCGGCTCTTAACTGCGCTGGATCGTGGCGGTGAACAAACGCATTGGCACAGTGTGAGTTGTTCATGAATAACGAATAATTCCACATTGTTCATAATTTAAGACGATGTAATATTTGTCGCACGCTTCATTTGATACGCACGCTGTACCAATGCGTTTGTTCACGACCACGACCGAACACGGTTGAGAGCTCTCGTAGTTGAGCGCGCGCTCTACACACGCTCTGATTGGCCAGTGTTTTCCATTAAAATAATAACTCAAAAACGAAGTTTCAACCAACATTTTGGTAAAGGGAAGAGTTGTTCGGAATCATCCCAGCAACCCCCCATTTCCGGGTGTTATGCAAGTTCTGGGACACCCTGTATAAGTATCAAGGTAAAGCTTCAACTCTATTTTCTATTCTTTTTAAAGCAATAGAATAATTTTTAATGTAACCAACCTTATCTCCATAACTTATCGTCCCCATAAATTTCTTAGGGCGCATATTTGAGACGCAGTGAGCTGTGTACTCCTTTATTTTCGGTTTACCATCCTACGCTCTCTGAATATTTTGAATAAGAACATTTTCAATACAGTTTCTTATTACGAGAGAATGTAGGTACTTATTTTGCAAGAGAAGATTCCGAGGTATGATACTGACTTTTTTATGAACTTTTGCACATCGATAAGATTACAAAACTGATATTAGCGATACGTACTTACATACATTGCGTCCCACTTTATAAATAACGAAAAACCATCCGAAATGTGGAAGTTTTAAATGCCATGTATAGTACCGAGCACGGTAGGCTTTCCTAGGGAAAATGGCGATGCTCCGAGCTCTGACCCAGGCCGTAAGCTTCCTCTTCTCCGCGTTCTCGGTCCTCTCTAGCTTTCCGTTCCCTAGGCTCCCGTCCGTCCACACAGGCAATTCCGAAGAAAGTGACGATGTATGGAAGAGGCCCCATATAGAGGATGATCCTCTTACTAATGGACTCAAAGGCAATGCTGCCATTACAGCACGAAGAGGTCCAAATTCCTTTTCTATCATCAATATCTCGACGGTGATGTCTCTTACAGATGAGATGGTTGTGCGCGTGAAAATGTGTGTAACGAAAAAGATAGTTTTATTTTGTTTTCCCCAGCATTTAAAGGGGACTTTTTTTTCATAACACACAGTTTCGCTCACACAATCGTTTCAGTTGCAGGAGACATCACCGCCTAAATAACGATGACACATAAGCGACTTGAGTCTCTTCATGCTATTGCGACGATATGCTTTTGAGTCGTCTGGTGTAGGGATGTGCGGGTACCCGATATTACGGGCTCGGGCAGGCATCTGAATCAGCCCGACTGTACCCGACCGAATTCGAAATAGTCGTGCTATCTGACTGCACGCATGTAT